CCACGGCTTCACCAGGGCCCCCATTATTCCACAAACCAACATAAATACATACAGGCATACCTCAGAGATATTACGGGTTCAGTTCCAGAACACCTCAATAAAGTGAATATTGCAATAAAGCAAGTTACGGGAATTTTTTGGTTTACCAGTGCATATAAGAGCTATGTTTATGAAAACTCATAAAAAGGTTTACACACAAAAAGAAGCACTCTTTGATCGTTACAAGGGAGGGGAGGGGTGAGGATGGAAAAACACTAAGTAGACAGTAGATGAGTGGTAACTTTGGTGAAGGGTAAGACAGTACACAATACTGGGGAAGCCAGCACAACTTGTACAAGGCAAGGTCATAGACGCTCCACAGACACATCCAAACTCCCTGAGGGACCAAATTACTGAGCTGAGGGCTGTGGGGACCATGGTCTTGGGAAACATCTAGCTCAGTTGGCATAACATAGTTTATAAAGAAAATGTTCTACATCCTACTTTGGAGAGTAGTGTCTGGAGTCTTAAAAGCCTGTGAGCAGCCATCTAAGATACTCCACTGGTCTTACCCCTTCGGGAGCAAGGGAGAATGAAGAAAACTAAAGACACAAGGGAAAGATTAGTCCAAAGGACTAGAGGACCACAATTACCACGGCCTCCATCAGACTAAGAGGGTGCCTGGCTACCACCACCGACTGCTCTGACAGGGATCACAATAGAAAGCCTCAGACAGAACTGGAGAAAAACGTAGAACAAAATTCTAACTCACAAAGAAAGACCAGACTTACTGGTCTGACAGAGACTGGAGAAACCCAGAGAGTATGGTCCCCACATACCCTTTTAGCTCAGTAATGAAGTCACTCCTGAGGTTCACCCTTCAGCCAAAGATTAGACAGGCCTATAAAAAAAAAAAAAAAATGAGACTAAAGGGGCACACCAGTCCAGGGGTAAGGACTAGAAGACAGGAAGGGATGGGAGAGCTGGTAATAGGGAATTCAAGGTAAAAAGAGAGAGTGTTGACATGTCGTGGGTTTGGTAACCAATGTCACAAAACAATATGTGTACTAACTGTTTAATGAGAAGCTAGTTTGTTCTGTATACTTTCATCTAAAGTACAATAAAGAAAAAAAAGTGAAAGATGGTAGATCCATATAAAGCAGAAGAAAAACACTTGATGACACAGTTAGCATTGTATCTGCATGCAAATAAAGATAATTACTCATTTAAATAAAACCTCAACATAGTATCTATCAAAAAAAAAAAACTCTTTATTGCTAAAAAATACCATCATCTCAGCCTTCAGTGACATAATCTTTTTGCTGGTGGAGGGCCTTGCCTCGATGTTGATGGCTGGCTGATCAGGGTGGTAGTTGCTGAAGATTGGGGTGGCTGTGGCAATTTCTTAAAATAAGACAACAATGAAGTTTGCCACATTGATTAACTCTTCCTTTCACGAAATATTTCTCTGTAGCATGCGATGCTGTTTGATAGCATTTTACCAACAATAGAACTTCTTTCAAAATTGAAGTCAATCCTCTCAAACCCTGCTGCTGCTTTATTAACTAAGTCCAAGTAATATTTTAAATCCTTTGTTTTCATTTCAACAACGTTCACCACATCTTCATCAGGAGTAGATTCCTTCTCAAGAAATCACTTTCTTTGCTCATCCATAAGAAGCAGTTCCTCATCCACTAAAGTTTTATCATGAGATTGCAGCAATTCAGTCACATCTTGCTATATCTACCACATCTGCAGTTACTTCCTCCACTGAAGTGTTGAACCCCTTAAAGTCATCGATGGGGGCTGGAATCAACTTCTTCCAAACTCCTTTTAATGTTGATATTTTGACCTCCTCCCATGAATCACAAATGTTCTTAATGGCATCTAGAATGGTGAATCCTTTCCAGAAGGTCTTCAATTTACTTTGCCCAGATCCATCAGAGGAATTACTATTTGTGGCAGCTATATTGCCTTAAGAAATATATTTCTTAAATACTAAGACTTGAACGTCAAAATTACTCCTTGATCCATGGTCTGCAGAATGGATATTTCTTTAGCAGATATGAAAATAACATTAATCTCCTTGTATATCACCATAAGGGCTCTTGGGAGACCAGGTGCATTGTCAATGAGCAGTAATATTTTGACAGGAATCTTTTTTTCTGAGCAGTAGGTCTCAGCAGTGGGCTTAAAATATTAGTAAACCATGTTGTAAATAGATGTGCTGTCATCCAGGCTTTGTTGTTCCATTTATAGGACATGCGCAGAATAGATTTAGCATAATTCTTAAGGGCCTTAGGATTTTCAGAATGACAAATGAGCATTGGTTTCAATTTAAAGTCACCAGCTGCATTATCCCCTAACAAGAGAGTCAGCCTGTCCTTCAAAGCTTTGAAGCCAGGCATTGACTTATCTCTAGCTATGAAAGTCCTGGATGGTGTCTCCTTCCCATATAAGGCTGTTTTGCCTACATTGAAAATCTATTGTTTAGTATAGCCACCTTCATCAATTACCTTAGCTAGATCTTCTGGATAATTTGCTGCAGATTCTAAGTCAGCACTTGCTGCTTCACCTAACCCTTTTATGTTATGGAGACGGCTTCTTTCCTTAAACCTCATGAACTAATCTCTGCTAGCTTCAGACTTTTTTTCTGCAGCTTCCTCACCTCTCTCAGCCTTCATAGAATTGAACAGAGGTAGGGCCTTGCTCTGGATTAGGCTTTGGCTTATGGGAATGTTGTGGCTGGTTTGATCTTCTATCCAGACCACTAAAACTTTCTCCATATCAGCCATAAGGCTGTTTTGCTTTCATATGTTCACTGGAGCAGCACTTTTTTTGTGTGTGGGGGGGCACTTTTTATTTTGTTTTTTAAGTTTGGAGAGTTTTTGTGTATGTGTATGTGCTTTAGGTGAACGTTTACAGCTCATGTTAGTTCCTTATTCAAAAATTTATACATATTGTTTTGTGACATTAGTTGCAATCCCCACAATGTGACAGCACTCTTCCCCTTTCCGCCTTGGGCTCTTCGTGTTCGTTTGTCCAGTTTTCCTGTCCCGTCCTGCCTTCTCATCTTGCTTTTTGGCGGGAGTTGCCCTTTTGGTGTTGTATGTTCGATTGAACTAAGAGGCATGTTCATCACATGTGTTATGGTTTGTTTTATAGGCCTGTCTAATCTTTGTCTTCAAAGTGGGCTTTGGGAGTGGTTTCATTTCTGAGTTAGCAGAGTGTCCAGGGGCCATAGTCTCGAGGGTTCCTCCAGTGTGTGTCAGACCAGTAAGTCTGGTCATTTTTCATGAGTTTAAATTTTGTTCTAGATTTTTCTCCCGCTCTGTCCGGAACTCTCTTGTGATCCCTGTTAGAGCAGTCAGTGATGGTAGCCAGGCACCATCTAGTTCTTCTGGGCTCAGGCTGGTGAAGACTCTGGTTCACATAGTCCTTTCATCCTTTGCGTTAATATTTTCCTTGTGTCTTTGGTGTTTTTCATTCTTCTTTGCTCTGGCTGGGATGGGACCAACAGATGTATTTTAGATTACTGCTCACTAGCTTTTAAGACCCCAGATGCTACTCACCAAAGCAGGATGTAGAACATTTTCTTTACGAACTGTGTTATGCCAATTGACCTAAATGTCCCCCGAGACCATGGTCCCCAGCCCTCAGCCCCAGCAACTTGGTGCCTCAAGGTGTTCGGGTGTTGGAGTAGCACTTTTAATTTCCTTCAAGAACTTTTCCTTTGCATTCACAACTTGGCTGTTTGGCCCAAGAGGCCTAGCTTTTGGCCTCTCTCCGCTTTGGACACGCCTTCCTCACTAAGTTTAATCATTTCTAGCTTTTGATTTAAAGTGAGAGACGTGTGACTCTTCCTTTTACTTGAACACTTAGAGGCCACTGTAGGGTTATTAATTGGCCTAATTTCAAGGTGAGTAGAGGTGGCAAAAATTGTGTAGGGTAACTGAACTGTAGGGAAAAAAACCCAACCGCTTCCAGAGGAGAAAGATGTCAAGAAGGTGTTGAAGTGGTAGGGGCCTCATAATTTAAACAGCCTTGCATGTGTGCCCCTCATGGCCCTGCATGAACTGGCCTGCATGTTCTCATGCACTGGAGCTAGTATCAATTTCATTTAGTACCCTGCTGCTTCCCTTCCACTGCTGTGCTTGCTTTTCATTGTGTCCTGTCTGCTTGCCCTATGGCTCTTTGCTTTGGACAACTGGTGCCCCTGTTTTGTTGATGCCCTAAACACGTGTTTACCTTGTATATTGGGTAATCAGTCTCTGGATGGGTGACTGGAAACAGATTGAAGGGGGATTATGTCCCCAGTCCTCTTCATTTCCAGCTTTGTATGCATGAGAGGCAGTAGTGTGGGAAAGGGGTGGGGAGGGGTGCTCTGAAATTTACAGGCCCGGATTCAAAATGAATTCTGGCTTTGCCTCTTACCAGGGCAGGACCAGAGGGGTTAATTTACTCAGTTTCTTCTATTGTAAAATGGAGCTGATAATACCCATTTGCCCAACAAAAGCCAGCCAAAATGTTTGCGTTGAGGAGTTAATGGAATCATTGATTCCAGCGCCTAGCACAGCAATCGCCTGGCACGCGGCGGGAACTTGGGGACCTCGCTTCCTCCCCTTTTCCCGGCGGCCCCTTCTCCACACCGGGGCTGCCCCTGGTACTCAGCCCGCCCTGCGGGGTCTCCCGCACCGCCCCCGGGTGGAGGCACCAATCTCTCCTAGCCTGGAACCCTAGCGGATCTGTGCCGGCAGGCGGCCAGGCGGCCTCAGGGTAAGGCGGGGTTCGCGGGGAAAACGAAACTGAGAGTGAGCTGCTCAGACACGGCTGGGCTTCGGCGGATAGCAGCAGCCTGGGGTGAGCAGGGTCGTTGGGCGGCGGGGCGAGACCTGGGGGCGCGGCGTAGGCGGACCGCGGGGCGAGAGCGGGGGGCAGCAGGGCGAGCGCGGGGGCCAGGTGGGGGTCCTGGCCCGGCAGCTGGCGGAGGGGCTCGCGTCCCCGCCGGGAATGCAGACCCTGGTACGAGGCCCCCGGAGCCCGCACCGGGAGAGTGGTCAGAGCCACGCTGCAGAGTTGGGGACCCTTCCTGGATCTGGGGAAAGGATCGTGGAGCGCGGTAAGAACTGAAAGCCATTTTCTTCCCGCGAATAATTTTTGTCAGAGCAAGTGACATATAGCTCCCAAGCCGGCAGAGGGGGCGGGGAGAGCTGGTGGAAAACGGAGAGGCCCTACGACTTGACAGATGGGAAGTGTATGGAGGCCTGAAGTAGCCACAGATTGATTAATAATCTATTGGTAGAAATCTCCTGCCTGGACAGTTACAGTAGTCTCCCAGTATCCCAGCCTCAGCCCCGCCCCTACCCTGAACCACTGCCTTTTCTCAACGCCGCTACCAGAGTGTTCCAGTAAATCAGAGCCGATGTAAATCAGAGCCAACTCTCACCTGCTCGGTACTCCCCACTGGCTTTCCTTCTCATAAGAATCCTATTTTCAGGCCTTGTCAGGGCCCACAAACATGGCCTCTTGCTCCCTCCACTCAGCCTCCTCGCTCTTACACTGCTGCCTTGGGTCTTTGCACTGCCTGTTTCCTCTTCCTGGAACATTCCTCTCCCCACCCCATACCTGCATGGACCAACTCCTCTCTTCATCCTGCTCTTCCTCGAATGCCACCTTATCAGAGCAGCCCTCCCTGAACACTACATAAAAACCACCACATCCTGCCCTGCCCTTCTTATCCCCCTGACTCTCCCTGTCCGCCTTACTGTCTCTACTACCCTTGCTCTTCCTGTCTCCCTTACTTTGCTTCGTTTTTCACCATAGAACTTAACACGCTGTGATACTCATTATAAGTTTATTATCAGTTCCTCCACTAGTTAGTAAGTCCACAAGAGCAGAGACTTATGTGTTTTGTTCACAAGCATAACCTCAGTGCCCCGTACATAATAGATGCTCATTAAATATTTGTTAAATGAATGGTAATTCATAAATTCTCTCTTGAATCCAGAATAATGAGACAGACTATTGCCCATGTTTTCTTTCGTAACCAAGAATGCATTGCCTGAATGGAAGCTAAAAGATATACTCTCAGCTGTCATTTAGAAACTATTTAATTTTGGACAAATTATGCTCTTGTTCTTCACTTTGTTATTTGAACATGAAGATCCATAACATTCCACCTGTAGTTTATTCATTTATTAATCAGATGTTATTTGAATGCATGTTATAGGACAAGCATTGTGCAGGCTCTGGAGGTGACTTGGTCTACAGTGGTCTCCCAGTCTGCCGGCAGCGAAGGTAGGCACAGCCAAAGAAACTTCTGGGCATGAGTAAGAGGGACAGATAACATTCGTTAGTCAGTATGACGGAGATTTCTTTCCTGAAAATGATAAAGTAGAATTAAAACAAGATTTGTTAAAGATAGTTAAAAAGAAACTTGCTATTTCTTTGTTTCCAAACTCACAAGTACTATTTCAAACATACCAGTTCAGCACTTTATTAGTTTACATATACATTTATGTGTTCACATGCATTCAAACTCACTGTGCTGAGTATTTAGAGTATCTGATAGGACTTTAGAGTAAATAATTGCCGGGGACTCTCTTATCACTGCTGTTTTGAGATCTGTGACCCCTCCAATTGGATATATGTCTCATAGTTGTGACTAGCTAAATGGCACTTTGGTTCCTGAAAATAATGGTGCAGTCCACAGTCCCTTATTTGAAATCTTGGGCCAGATGTGTTCCAGAATTCAGAGATTTTTGGATGTTAGAAAGGCAATGCAGTGTAAACACTACGTATTATAGAATGCTCTTGGAAGGATTTGGGGCAGCACCCCATAATAAAACATATTAACATTTCTGCAGTGACGTGTTAAATAGGTAACAAAGTATAAAGACTCTAAATGGCTCGTGTCCGTTCAGGTCAACACAGGCAGCTCCAAACCTACCAAAATGAATAAACCAACAATAAACAAACAAACAAAAACTCCTGGTTATCATCAGAGCTATTTGGAGTTTGGAATTGCAGACCTAGTACACCATTTTGAGAAACAGTTGTGTGTGGAGGACTCTGCTGGAGACTTTATATCTGACTTACTCCTCATGACGATCCTGTGAATGAGGCATTTTTATTCCTGTTTTCAGGTCATGAGTCAAAGGCTCAGAAAGGTGTCTAGTCTAGGTCTGTATGGCTCTAACGCCTAAGCTCTTTCCACAACGCCAGGCTGTAATATGAATGTGCTTCCTTTTCTCAGACTCCAGGGACTTCCAATGCCCTACTTCCAGCCACCACTATCTCTCACCCAAACCACTGAAGCAGCCTCACCTGGTCTCCCTACTTCTTCTCATGCTCACTCCCCCCACCCATACTCTGTTCTTCACAAAGCATCAGAATGATCAGTCTAAAACATACGTCAGATCACATCACCCCTCTTCTTAGAACCCTCCAGTGGCTTCCTACTGCAATTAGAATAACATCTGGGTATTGACCATGTTGTTCTGGACCAATAAACAACATCATGATAAATGGAGAAAAGATTGAAGTTGCCAAGGATTTCATTTTACTTGGATCCACAATCAGTGCCCATGGAAGCAGAAGTCAGGAAATCAAACGATGTATTGCACTGGGCAAATCTGCTGTAAAAGACCTTTTTAAAGGTTGAAAAGCAAAGATGTCACTTTGAGGACTAAGGTGTGCCTGACCCAAGCCATGGTATTTTCAGTTGCCTCATATGAATGCGAAAGCTGGACAGTGAATAAGGAAGACTGAAGAATTGATGCTTTTGAATTATGGTGCTGGTGAAGAATATTGAATGTACCATGGACTGCAAGAAGAATGAACAAATCTGTCTTGGAAGAAGTACAGCCAGAATGCTCCTTAGAAGCTAGGATGATGAGTTTTTGTCTCATATACTATGGACATGGTATCAGGAGGAACCAGTCTCTGGAGAAGAACATCATGCTTGGTAAAGTAGAGGGTCAGCGAAAAAGAGAAGACCCTCAATGAAATGGATTGATACAATGACTGCACCAATGGGCGGAAACATAACAGTTATGAAGAAGGCACTCAGCTCTCTTGATTCGTGATCGGCAAGCCTAGCTTCACCAATAAATGCCTCGAGGCACCCCACTCTGCCAGGAAGCCTCCCGCACAAAGACATTCATTCTCATTCTGGATTGGCTCCCGCGCCGTCTCACGCTAGTCTCTTGATTCTGCTGCTGCTTCTCACCGTCTACACCATCTCCAGCATTACAGCTCTCCCCACTTCCTTCTGAGTCCTCACCAGAATTGTCTTTAATGTCCATAATTCCACCAACAGTCTCTTCAAGGCAGTCTAGGCTTTTAAAACTCTTCCAGCCTCTACCCATTCACAGTTTAAAAACCACTTCCACATTTTAAGTATTTGTTAGAGCAGCACCCCACTCTCCTGGTACCAAATTTTGTCTTAGTCATCTAGTGCTGCTATAACAAATATCACAAGTGGATGGCTTTAACAAAGAGAAATTTATTCTCTCACAGTATAGGAGGCTAGAAGTCCGAATTCAGGGTGCCAGCTCCAGAGGAAGGCTTCCTCTCTCTGTCAGCTCTGGGGGAAGGTTCGTGTCATCAATCTTCCCCTGGTCTAGGACCCTCTCAGCACAGGGACCCTGGGTCCAAAGAATGTGCCTCTCCCTCGGTTCTTTATTCTTGGTGGCATGAGGTTCCTCTCCTCTCTGCTCGCTTCTCTTTCTTTCGCATTTCTAGTAGTTTTATTTATTTATTTATTTTTAGAGTGTTTAAGTAATTTTTGTTTATTGTGCTTTAGATGAAGGTTTACAGAACAAACTACCTTCTTATTAAACAGTACACATATTGTTTTATGACATTGGTTAACAACACCACAACATGTCAACACTCTCCCTTCGGTTCCCTATTACCAGCTTTCCTGTCCCCTCCTGCCTTCTAGCCCTTGCCCCTGGGCTTGTGTGCCCCTTTAGTCTCGTTTTGTTTTTTGAGCCTGTCTAATCTTTGGCTGAAGGGTGAACCTCAGGAGTGACTTCATTACTGAGCTAAAAGGGTGTCAGGGGGCCATACTCTCGGGGTTTCTTCAGTCTCTGTCAGGCGAGTAAGTCTGGTCTTTTTCTGTGAGTTAGAATTTTGCTCTACATTTTTCTCCAGCTCTGTCTGGGACCCTCTATTGTGATCCCTGTTAGAGCAGTCAGTGGTAGTAGCTGGCACCATCTAGTTGTACTGGACTCAGTCTGGTGGAGGCCGTGGTAGTTGTGGTCCATTAGTTCTTTGGAATAATCTTTCCCTTGTGTCTTTGGTTTTCTTCATTCTCCTTTACTCCCGAAGGTATGAGACCAATGGAGTATCTTAGATGGCCACTCACAGGCTTTTAAGACCCCAGATGCTACTCACCAAAATAGGATGTAGAATATTTTCTTTATAAACTATGTTATGCCAGTTGTTGCTTCTCTTTTATATCTCAGAGGTTGACTCAAGATACAACCTAATCTTGTAGATTGAGTCCTGCCTCATTAACATAACTGCTTCTAATCCTACCTCATTAACATCATAGAGGTAGGATTTACAACACATAGGAAAATCACATCAGATCACAAAATGGTGAACAACTACACAATACTGGGAATCATGGCCTAGCCAAGTCGATACACATTTTCTGGGGACACATTCAGTCCATAACACCTAACAACAACACTGACCATGGCCTACAAGGTGTATGTGCTCTGATGCCTGCCCACCCCATTGATTCATTTCCTGCCCTCTCCCCCTCCTTAACTGTGCATCTGCCCCATTGGCCTTTTTGCCAGTAAAACGGATAAGGGCTGTGATATAGCACCAAACCAGGACCTCTTCTAGAGTATCTGGGAAGGTTTCTATAAGAAATAACACTTAAGCTGAGATGTTTAGGAAGAGTAGGAGTTGACCAGGAAAAGGCAGTGGCAGGGGTAGAGTCAAAAGCATTTTGGAAGGGAATGGGTTGCACAGAAGCAATCGGGAGTTGGTGGTGGAGGCATACACTTGAGAGCCATCATTGTATAGGTGGAATTTAATGCCAGAAGCCTGGAGTTGATCACCAAGGGAGGAGTGTAAGTAGAGAAGTGAGGAGGTCCAAGGACTGGGCCCCTGGGCACTATAATATTTAGAAGAAAGGAAGACAAAGAGGAACCAGCAAAAGAGACTGAGAATGGGCAGCTTGTGAGGCAAGAGGACTACCAGGAGAGTTGTGGTGTCCTAGAAATCCAAGCCAAGGAAGTGGGAGAAGGGAATGAGCCACCATGTCAGGCGCTGGTTATAGGTCAAGTAGACAACGACTGAGAACTGACCACTGGATTTAGTGATGGGGAGGCCATCGCCTTGACCTTGACAGGAGCAGTTTTGTTGTCTTGTGGAGGCTGCCTGATTGAATTGGTGGCTTAAAAAGATCATGCTGACTGCAGGGTAGAGAAAAAATTCAAGTGGCTATGAGACACTAGTTATCGGGTTCTTGCAGCACCCCAGGATTGAAGTGATGATGGTTTGAACCAGGATGGTAGAGGTAGACATCGTTGAGAAATAGAAGGATTTTGAAGTTACAGGACTTGGTTATGGATTAGAAGATATGGTGAGAAGATTTCAACAGTGCTGTATGTTGTATCAGTCAGGATTCTCCAGAGAAACAGAACTAATTAGATGGATATGATATACATGATTTATTTTAAGGAATTGGCTCATATAATTATGGAGACCAACAAGTCAGAAGTCTGTCGGGCAGGCTGGCTGGCTGGAAACTTAGGCAAGAGTTGATGTTACAGTTTTGTCTTAGTTATCTAGTGCTGCTATAACAGAAATACCACAGTGGATGGCTTTAACAAACAAATTTATTCTCTCACAGTCTAAGAGGCTAGAAGTCTGAAGTCAGGGTGCCAGCTCCAGGGGAAGGTTTTCTTTCTGTTCTGGGGGAGGGTCCATGTCTTCAATCTTCCCCTGGTCTAGGAGCTTCTCAGCACAGGGACCCTGGGTCCTAAGGATGCACTCTGCTCCCGATATTCTTTCTTAGTGGCAAGAGGTCCCTCTCCTCTCTGCTTGATTCTCTCTTTTATATCTCAAAAGACGTTGACTCAAGATACAACCTAATCCTGTAGATTGAGTCCTGCCTCATTAACATAACTGCCTCTAATCCTGCCTCATTAACATCACGAAAAGCTAATTTACAACACATAGAATTATTACATCTGATCACAAAATGGTAGACATCCACACAATACTAGGAATGATGGCCTAGCCAAGCTGAGACACATTTTTGGGGGACACAATTCAGTCTGTCACAAGTCGGGAGTCAAAATCTGTAGAGCAAGGCTGGAAACTGAGGCAGAATTTCTATGTTACAGTCTTAGGGGCAGACTTCATCTTCTCTGGGAAACCTCAGGTTTTGCTCTTAATCTTTCATGATCCATGGTATGTACAGTGTTCTGTCCACTTTTTTTTCCAGCTCTCAGGTTCTTTGGTAGTATACTTCTACCACTGAAAATATTTGCTGCCTTCCACTGGGGATTTGTGTAACGACAAAAGGTGAAAGAAACATTAGTTGAAGCAAAATAGCTGGGTTATGAGGCTTGCAAGTAAGGTAGTACAACCAGGAAGTGTGATTGGATAAAAATTTTGTCTCTTTTGGTTTTTATATCCCTAGATAAGCCTTGTAAGCATGTTTATAGTTTCTTGTGAGATAGTTAGGGAGCCCTGGAGGTTCGGTTTTGTGTTTTGTGTCATATTTGGAAAACCAGAGGTTCCTCATGTAACCAAATGGAAGGTGCCATGAAAAACAGTAGCAACTGAGGTCCAGTAGTGGAGAGGGGTAACCACTAATTATGGGGCCGAGAACTGTAAAAATTCTGTAATAACCATGTAGTACCAGATAATATTTCTCAAAATCCATATTACCACCCAAAATTTTAAACACACTTCATGACTCAGCATGCTTCCTTAATGAAAACACATGGTATCCAAAAATAAAAAAAATCAAAGCAGAAAATAATTGGACCTTGAAAGGGTTAAGGCCTTCAAACTGATTGAATGAGGCCCATCCACATTATTGAGGATAATCTCCTTTACTTTAAGTCAGCTGATTGTAGATGTTAAGTACGTCTACAAAACACCTTCACAACAACATCTAGACTAGTGTTTGACCAAATAACTGGACACAATAGCCTAGGCAGGTTTTATATAAAATTAACCATCAAAGATGACTCCTAGATTTGTGGCTTTCAGACATGGATGGATGGTGGAGTCATTTTCTAAGAAAGGAAACTCTGAACCAGCATGGAGGAAGATCATAAATGCAGTTTTGGATATTTTGAGTTTGAAGTTCATTCAAGATGTTCAGGTGGAGATACTGGATATAAGGATCTGAAGCTCAGGGAGAGGTCCAAACTGCAAATGTAAGTTTTAGAGTTTATGACATATAGATGATAATTGAAATCATGGACATGAAAGAAATCACCTTAGAGACAAGGTGTAGAGTGAAGAGAATAGGGTCTTGGACTGAGTCTTAGGGAGCTACAGCATTTAGAAGCCAAGAAGACTAAGGAATATTAGAAAGAGTGGCTAGGGAAGAATGAAAACCAAGAGCCTTCCAGGCCAGAATAAGATCAACAGGGTCCACTCCTGCTGAGAAGATAAATCCTACAAGAGGTGTGCTGGAAATATGGGCATGGAGGTCACTGAAGCTCTACTCAGGAGCTGTTTAGGTAAAATGATAGGACGAAAGCTAAATGGAGTGAGCTGAGGAAATGACACAATTCTGTGGAGAAATCTGATTGTAAATGGTGACAGAAAGAACACTAGCATCAAGGTGCAAGAGGAGAAGTGGGTTTCTAGGGAGGTCACTTTTTATTATGGTTTGTTTATTTTGTCTTCCAGATAGGAGAGACTGAGGATGTTTAAATGCTGATGGGAAGGCCACAGCAGATGGCAGTGCCTGAGTAGAAGGGAAGGTATAGGATCTAGAGCTTAGGTGGCAAGACTGGCTTTGAACAAGAGAGGGAACAGGACTGTCCTAACAGGATTGAACATGGAGTGGATATGAGCAGATGCAGGCATGTTGTGCTACAGGACTCCAGGTGGCACCATTCACATTGTAGTCACCCTGGCCTTGGTGAGGAGTTTGTAGTTACCAAAAAACCCGTTGCCATCAAGTCGATTCTGACTCATAGCAAACCTATAGGACAGAGTAGAACTGCCCCTGTAGGGTTTCCAAGGAGCGCCTGGTAGATTCAAACTGCCAGCCTTTTGGTTAGCAGCCGTAGCTTTTAACCACTGTGCCACTAGAGTTTGTGGTTAGGTGGGGAAAACTAAGGCATCTATTTTGACTGTGAGGAAGGAAGCCAGGTTGTCAGCTGGGAGGGAAGTGGGAGTTGTAAGGAGTATGGAGAAGGTTTGATAGTTATTGTGGAAGGTGTGAGAGTGAGTTTACCAAGGAGTTGTAGTGGGATTGGCAATGAGGTCAGAGTCTGGAGGTAGGGAAACTGTTTAGGGAAGGCTAGTGAGGGTTGATGAGGGTTATTGACAAAGGTGGCAGAAAGAAAAGAGAATGTTTTCAAGAGAAGATTAGAAGGTAGAATTGACCTGTTATATTGAGGAAATGGTTGGAAAGAGGTGGAAGCTGATGCCTAGTTCCTTTCGGGCTTAGGTGAAGCCTCTAATGGAGGCAGGAGCACAGAGGAGAAGCAGGCCCCCAGGGAAGGGATCTGAAGCACTCACTTCCAAAAGCCTGTTTCTTCCTCTGTTCCAAGATTTGATTACCTGCAAACTTGGGAAAGAAATTGAGGCAAATTAATACTCTGGGGGCTATCTTCAGGCAGTGTAAGAATCCTAATCTTCAGGTTTTGAAAACGAGAGTAGAAAGCAGAGTCTCAACAGTAATCAAGGGTTTTAAGGCTGAATTTTGAGAGCTTACGAAGTGTAATGTCTTTTTCCCTCTACTACTATTTGCTAAATTACTATGAGTTGGGCAACAGTTTGGCTGGGGTCCGAGGAACTCAAGGGTTAATTTGTGGGTCAACTGCTTCATGCAGAAGTTGTCAAGAAATGATACACAAACAGGGCCATGTGCAAAGTAGAAAAAGGTGCCTCTGTGGGTAGAAGTATTCTCCAGCCAAAGTACAGTCTTGGTGCAGACTATGGACTGGCCTCTTTTGTGTGATACACATCTACACAGTGCGGCCCTACAGGAGGAAGGTATGGAGTGCTCAGGGGAGACCAGGAGAGGTAGAACTGAGTCAGCATCCAAGTACGTACAGCAGACACTTGCAAGGGAAGGGGAAAAGGGCTACAGAAATGAGAAAAGATCTGCTTCCATTTCCAGTGATCAGGGTTTTGGTGAAGGAATCCTCCAATTCATGGCATGAGCAAAGCAGGCCCCGGTCCCAAGGCAGCCCCTGTATGGAAGTCCATGCATATTCCATACAGGGGAGGAGGGGATGAGCAGAGGAGAGGAGCACAGGTCCAGGCTAATTTCTAGCTGACAGCTTAGTAATGAATTTCAGTGGGCTGGGCTAGTGCTTGCCAGTAACCTATTATGCACTTGTCTCTACCCTGCGAAATTCTCTGTATCTTTTAAATTTTGTTTATAATTTAAATTATTGCCGTGGTCTTGGTTCAGTGAGACCTGTAAACTGGGATCTCAGTATACTCACTGGGTAAATTGTTGTAAAACTGACTTCTGCAAATTCCGAGGGGGGATGTTTTGGATTTCATTTGGAATCTATTCCCTTGCAGCTAAATCCTTCATGATGTCACAAAATTCACCTATTATATGTATGTTGGGCCTTTTTCTGCTCAGAATGAGGAATTCTAATTCTATGTCTGCAGCTGTTTTTATCTTCTCAGGTAGATGGACAATCTTGCACTTGACAGTGGAAGCAGAGTTAAAGAAAAAGGGTCCCTTTGTTCTTTGGCCAGTTGAATTTTGAAAGTAGAAAATTTTGGAGAAATTAGCTTGATTCTGCAGTCCATGGGAGAGAAAAAAAACTTTTATAAGAAAGTTTCCTCTGAATATATGTAGCGCTAAAATGAGTCATAGAAAAAGACTCTCCCCACTCCCTTTTGTCTCCTAAATTGGATTGGGGAAGTCAGATTAATATGTTCTATAATTCTGTGAGTATCACTTCTTTCAAACATTTCTTCTGCGTAGGCTACTGGAAGAAGAAATGGCTGGTGGTCTTTCACAAGGTTTCTTCATGGAGGAACTTAATAAATACCATCAGAAGCATAACGTAACAGTTAAGTATCATGAACTGTCTAACACAGGACCTCCACATGACTTAAGGTAAGTTGATTTACAAAAGGATTTGTCTCTATAAAATATAACCTGGGGGAAGGGCAACTGTGGCACAATTTTAAAGTCAATACTTTAGCCTGTTAGCAAAGTTGCTAAAAAGTTCTGTGAGAGTCCCCTTCTCGTAAAGTGGTAACTTCAGAGGACTCCTGAGAAAAAGGAGGATATAAGCCTTTCCATGCTTCAAAAATATGGCTGTTTTACTGTTTGGGAGTTACTACTTACATTCTTTATTGAACACGGATTCAGACCTTCAAAGCTAGTCACAGGAGGCAGTGGTGATTAGAAAGCTTGTCCTTAGATAATGCATGAGTTTTATAATATTTTGTGAATATTTTCTTTGTAATCAGGTTTACATTTCAAGTTATAATAAATGACAGAGAATTTCCAACAGCTGAAGGTAAAACAAAGAAGAAAGCAAAAAATGCTGCAGCCAAAATTGCCCTTGAGATACTTGATGAAGAAAGTAAGGTAACTGCCTTTTTTTTTTTTTAAATCCAGTAAGAGGGAACTCACAAATAAGTTTTATATTTTTCTCTGTGGGAAAATACCCACCTATAAAATAAAGCCATTTGCAAGTTCCTTTACATTCAGAAGTTTAGTCTTTTTTTCCGTATCTCCATTTCTGTAGAACTCTGAGTGAGAGGTACACCTAGGAAACAGTAGGCAAAGCTGGATAATGCCTGTTTAGAGTGCCAGCAGCAGTTTAATACTGAACAGTTAAACAAATATGGAAAGGAAACTGAGAAATGAGCTGACAGATTCTATCAGGAGTCCCCTTCACCTAATTAAGGGAGTGTGATGGAAAAAGACAAAGAGATGAAAGTGACTGTAAGGAGAGTGAACGGTATGGAGGGCACATAATGGAGAACCAACATACATGTAATTGGTATTCCTGAAGAAGAGAACAGTAAATAGTACAGAAAAAAAAATCTGAAGAGATGTCAGCACAATATGTTTCTGAAATAAAGGAAATTTGACTGCAGATTAAAACAACTTTACAGATATAGGACAATACAGAACCACCATGAACAAGATTGATCCTTGTGAAAGTGATGAGCTCCAGGGATGAGGAAGGAATCTCACAAGCATCTAGGCAGAAGAAGGAAATTATGTAAAATGAGAAGAAAAAAAACCTAAGTTGGCTCTAAAAAACTCATTGCCGTCAAGTTGATTTGGACTCTTAGTGTATAGGTAGATTAGAACTGCCCCATCGGGTTTCCAAGGAGTGGTTGGTGTACTGGAACTGCTGACCTTTTGGTTAGCAGCTGGAGCTCTTAACCACTGGGCCACCAGGGCTCCAAGTTGGCTCTAGCAACACTAAAAACCAGGAGACAGTGGAGAAATGGCTAAAAAATGAGACGTGAAGTCATTTACATGTGAGACAACAGAAAATGATTTTCATATATTGAAAAATTTGGAAAAATTTAGCTTTGAAGATATTATCCTGAAAAATCTTACTTGAGATGTAATCCTTCTAGCCAAAAAAAAATTTTTTAAATCAAACAAAATCACAAACTCTTACGTTATATGAGCAAAAAAAGTCAAGATAAAAAAAAAAAAAAAATAGAATATCCCCCCCCCAAAAAAAACAAACAAAATAATAAAAATTAAGGCAGAAATTAATGTAAAAGAGAACAAAGAAATAATAAAGAAGATTAAAAACTCAAAAGCTAGTTCTTGGACAAGATAAATAACATAGACAAACTTTGGAAAAGATTTTGTCACACTTAGAAAAAAGAAGGTTCAGATAACAATAGAAGGAATTTTACTATTATATTCATCTTTCCTGTTAAATTGAGCTCCCAGATTTAGGATTAACTAAATCACCTTCACTCCATTTTTGAGATTTAGAAAGTTTACACTAAACCAATAGAAGTATACAGGATAGAGAACTGAATGAAAAAAATGTGATGGGACTTTGGAGAAGAAATTGCAAACTAAAAAAGTTATAATATTTTACATGGAAAACAAAGAAAATGGACTATTTTGTTTTCTTTATGAACTATAAAAGAAAAATAGACGATTTCTTTCCTACTGTTAAAATTTGTCCTTGTGGATATTTTTGGGTAGGGGAAGATGTATATACTTACACATTTACTCAAGGTGTATAATAGAGAAATTCATAAACTCTTAAGTTGTCTTTTTAGATTGCTCATTTAGTAATTTTATTAGAAAAATAAAGAGTTAAATCTTTGTTATCACTTATATTCAACAAGATTTTTTTTTCTTTGTAGGTGGTTAGTTCTTTATCATTGCCAACAGCAGACACTTCAGAAGGGTTATCCATTAAGAATTACATAGGTCGTGTCAATATGTATGCCCAGAAGAAAAAACTCTCTGTAAATTATGAACAATGTTTTGTGAACGAATTGAGGGAGTCCGAGGTCAAAAGGTGAGGTATAGTTTGGGTTTTCCTTCTGTTTCCTTATATCTCAGCAATAAAGCAGACTTATTTTCATGTCTAATTTTCTAGAAATATTTGTCCTTTTTGTACATTCTGCATGGAAGCTTTTATATAACTTATAAATAATTGGACATCTTTGTAATTAAAGTATTAAAATGCTTAATTGCTGAAGCCTTGAAACCCATATATCACAGTTGATCAAATCTGGGTTATCCTTTATTTCCGAGTTATATCTGGATGGTTTAGGCTGTAAGAGACTTAAGAGAGAACAAGGAGGAATGTGGCGAACTTGCCATTCCTGAGGTTGCTGTGGCAGTGGCTATGTGAAAACCGCCCTGCCTCACGTGTGGAATGACTCTCTTGACACTATTGTCAGATTAGGGAGCTGTTTGTAAGGTGTTTGGCTTTCAAATTCAACTAAATGGTATCCCTCTCTAGGCAGATACCATATGTTAAAAGGAATAGGTTTTAGGGCCCTAGACAGAGGAGACCAGGATTTGAGGGCTGTGATGAGGGGAAAGGACTAGGAGAGTTCAGGGGTAGTCAGAACGTCACCAGTCAGCTAAGACGTATGGAAGTAAGGATAGAGAATGACTTGGCGCTGGGAAAAGTAGAAAGCAACTGAGTATGAGGGAGATTGTTTCTCAGCTACAGCCAACCAGTTAATTGAAGGAGAAGAAAACTATCTAAATGGCATATAGTCCAAAAAGCTGTATGTTAGGATACTGGCCTAAGAATGACTCAGCTGTTTCCTTTTTACTTTTCACTCTGATGGCTTTTAGATAGAGCTGGGATGGGGGTTGGGGCAAGGGAAATATGATAGTATTCATTGAAATGAAATAGTCAAAAGTTAATTCTGTGGGTCACTGTCATTAATTAAGAGGCTATTTTAACAGCTTTTCAATTTGGTTCATTTGAATTAAGCACTCCAACATCAGATACTTAAAACACGGAAGAAACCTATTTGGTGGATGCCCAGACAAAGCAGGAGTGATAGAAACAATCCAGTCACTCAGCCCAGACCCCAGTCACTGCTCTTGGATCTAGTAGGGAAGACTCACCCTGGTTAGGTGTGTTTCCTTCTACAGCATCCAATGGAAACATGTCATTGTTGATAGATTAGATGCCAGGCTCTGACTCATAGTGACCTTATGTACAACAGAACGAAATGTTGACTGATCCTGTGTCATCCTCACAAATGTTGCTATGTTTGAGCCCATTGTTGCAGCCACTGTGTCAATCGATCTCATTGAGGGTCTTCCTCTTTTTGCTGACCCTTTACCAAGCACGATGTCTTTCTCCAATGATTGGAGCATTATGTCTGTACTACCACCAAGACAGATTTGCTTGTTCTTCTGGTAGTCCATGGTATATTCAATATTCTTCACCAGCACCATAATTCGAACGCCTCAATTCTTCTGTCTACATTGTCCACCTTTCGCATGCATATTAGGCAATTGAAAAGATCGTGGCTTGGGTCAGGCGTACCTTAGTTATCAAAGCGACATCTTTGCTTTTTAAGATTTTAAAGAGATCTTTTTTCACAGGTTTGCCCAGTACAATACGTCATTTGATTTCTTGACTTATGCTTCCATGGACATTGCTTGTTGATACAAATAGAGTGAAATCCTTGACAACTTCAATTTTTTCCCACTTGTTTATCGTAATATTGTTTATGGGTCCAGTAGTGAGGACTTCGTTTTCTTCACATTCAGGTATAATCCACACTGAAGGCTATAGTCATTTACCTTCATCACTAAATGCTTCAAATTGTCTTCATTTTTGGCAAGCAAGGTTGTGTCATCTGCATATTGCAGGTTGTTAACAAGTCTTCCTCCAATCCTGATCCCTCGTTCTTTCATATAGTCCAGCTTCTTGAATTATTTGCTCAGCATCCATATTGAACAAAGTGAAAGGATACAACCCTGCTGCACTCCTTTTCCAATTTTAATCCATGCAGTATCCCCTTGTTGTGTTCTGTTGCTCTACCTGCAGGTTCTGCATGAGCACAATGAAGTGTTCTGGAATTCCCATTCTTCATAATGTTATTCATAATTTGTTACGATCCACACAGTCCATTGCCTTCCTGTAGTTGATAAAATGTAGATAAACATCTTTCTGGTATTCTCTGCTTTCGGCAAAGATCCATCTGACATCAGCAGTGATATTCCTTGTTCCACATCTTCTTCTGAATATGGCTTGAACTTTTGGCAGTTCCTTGTTGATGCACAGCTGCAGCCAATTTTGAATTATCTTCAGCAAAATTTTGCTGGCATATAATATTAATGATATTGTTTGATAGTTTTCACATTTCATTTGATCACCTTTCTTTGGAATGGGCACAAATATGGATCTCTTCTAGTCAGTTGGCCAAGTAGTCGTCTTCTAAATTTTTTGACATAGATGAGTAAGGACTTCCAGTGTTGCTTCCATTTGTCGAAGCATCTCACTTGGTATTCTGTCAGTTCCTGGAGCCTTGTTTTTCGCCAGTGCCTTCAGTAAGGCTTAAACTTCTTCCTTCAGTACCGGCTGTTCTTGATCATATGCCACCTCCTGAAATGGTTGAACGTCGACCAGTTCTTTTTTGTACAGTGACTCTGTGTATCCATTCCTTCCATGTTCTTTTGATGTTTCCTGCGTCATTCAATTTTTTGCCCATAGAATACTTCACTATTGCAATTTGAGGCTTGAATTTTCTCTTTAGTTCTTTCAGCTTGAAAAATGGCAATTGTGTTTTTTCTTTTTGGTTTTCTAACTCCAAGTCTTTGCACATTTTGTTATAATACTTTTATTATAATACTTGTCTTCTCAAGACACCCTTTGAAATCTTCTGTTCAGCTGTTTCATCCTTTCTTCTGTTTGCTTTAGCTACTCTGCACTCAAGAGCAAGTTTCAGAGTTTCTTCTGACATACATTTTAGTCTTTTCCTTCCTGCCTGCCTTTTAAATTGTCTTTTACTTTCTTCATTATGATATCCTTGATGTCATCCCACAACTCCTGTAGGCTTTGGTCATTAGTGTTCAGTCCATCAAATCTATTTTTGAGATGGTTTCTGAATTCAGGTGGGATGTATTCAAGGTCATACTTTGGCTCTTGTGGACTTGCTTTGATTTTCTTCAACTTTAGTGTGAACATGCATGTGAACAATTGATCTTTTCTGCCGTTGGCCTTGGCTTTGTCTTGATGGATGATAATATTGAGCTTCTCCATCATCTCTTTCCGCAGATGTAGTCAATTTGATACCTGTGTAATCCGTCTGGCGAGGTCCACTCCATCCATGTCATTAAAGTCAACTCTACTTTGAGGAGGAAGCTCTGCCCCTGTTGTATTTTCAGTGCTTTCCAACCTGAGGGGCTCAACTTCCAGCACTATCTCAGACAATGTTCTGTTTTTTTATGTAAGATTTTTATTGGCTAATTTTTGGAAGCAGATCACCAGGCCTTTCCTCCTAGTCTGTCTTAGTCCGGAAGCTCTGCCAAAACCTGTCCACCATGGGTGACCCTGCTGGTAGTTGAAATACTGGTGGTATAGTTTCCAGCATGTTAGCAATATGCAAGCCACCACAGTATGACAGACAGATGGGTGGTGGAATGCAAACATAAAACAAAAGAAAATAATACTGGAATAATTTTTGTAGTAACACAAAGCAGCCCTATGATATAAATTTCATGTCCATTACTTTGCTCCCTTAAAAATAGTACTAATTTAGCCCTCCCTCCCCTGCCTTTCCCGCGAGCGGAAGCGGCAGCGCCTCTGTCTCGCTTTTTCTTATTTTTCCCTTCCTTCTTTTTTTTCCTCCCGCCCCCTTCCCCATTTCCCCTTGGAGGCGCATCCCCCGGGCAGGGGCAAAGCCGGTCTCCCCCTCCGCCTCTCCCCGGCCGCCGCCGCCCTATGGCGAGAGGGAGCCCCGTCCCCACCCGAGCACAAGCGGCGGCGGCGGTTGGAGGAGCGGAACAGGCGGTGGCGGTGGCGGCGACGGCCACAGGTTTGGGGTCATCATGGAACTAATTCGCTGACTGACCTGACCCACCAGCCGCAGCAGTGCGTCCCGTCCTGCTCGAGCCCCTGCGCCCCCCTGCCCGGTTCCCCCTCTTTTCCCTCTTCAGTCGGCCCCGTCCTCGTCCCGTGCGTTTCGCCGCTGCGCGCAGAGGAAAATGAGGTGGTAACGGGCCCCTGGATGACCTCGCGTCATCACTGTGAGGCCTACAGCTCTGCCGGGGAGGAGGAGGAGGAGGAATAAGAGGAGGAGAAGGTAGCTACATCAAACTGGGTGACAGGCAGATCCAAAGGATATCATGAAGTTTCCAGGACCTTTGGAAAACCAGAGATTGTCTTTCCTGTTGGAAAAGGCAATCGCTAGGGAAGCCCAGATGTGGAAGGTGAATGTGCGCAAAATGCCAACAAATCAGAATGTTTCTCCATCCAAGAGAGATGAAGTGATTCAGTGGCTGGTCAAACTCAAGTACCAGTTCAGCCTTTACCCAGAAACATTTGCTTTGGCTAGCAGTGTTTTGGACAGGTTTTTAGCTACTGTAAAGGCCCACCCAAAATACTTGAGTTGTATTGCGATCAGCCGTTTTTTCTGGGCTGCCAAGACTGTTGAGGATGAGAGAATTCTGGTACTGAAGGTGTTGGCAAGAGACAGTTTCTGTGGATGTTCTTCTTCTGAAATTCTGAGAATGGAGAGAATTATTCTGGATAAATTGAATTGGGATCTTCACACAGCCACGCCATTGGATTTTCTCCACGTTTTCCATGCCATTGCAGTGTCAACTAGGCCTCAGTTACTCTTCAGTTTGCCCAAACTGAGCCCGTCTCAGCATTTGGCAGCCCTTACCAAGCAACTCCTTCATTGTATGGCCTGCAACCAACTTCTGCAATTCAAAGGATCCATGCTTGCTTGCTCTGGCCATGGTTAGTTTGGAAATGGAGAAACTCATTCCTGATTGGCTTCCTCTTACAATTGAACTGCTTCAGAAAGCACAGATGGATAGCTCCCAGTTGATCCACTGTCGGGAGCTTGTGGCACATCACCTTTCTACTCTGCAGTCTTCCCTGCTTCTAAATTCCGTTTGGCTACCGTCCCCTCAAGCGCACCCTGGTGACCGGTGACAAAGGAGTGTTCAGATTACATTCCTCCTCTGTCCCAGGCCCAGATTTCTCCAAGGACAGCAGCAAACCAGAAGTGCCAGTCAGAGGTACAGCAGCCTTCTACCATCATCTCCCAGCTGCCAGTGGGTGCAAGCATACCTCTGATAAACGCAAAGTAGAGGAAATGGAAGTGGATGACTTCTATGATGGAATCAAACGGCTCTATAATGAAGACAGTGCTTCAGAAAATGTGGGTTCTGTGTGTGGCACTGATTTATCAAGGCAAGAGGGACATGCTTCCCCTTGTCCACCTTTGCAACCTGTTTCTGTCATGTAGTTTGAACAAGTGTTACCTCCAGGTGCAAAACGAAGGTAGACTACTCTGGGAATAAGAACATGCAAAACCAGGAAAGGATATATAAGGGATATATACCTTACCAGGCTGAATTGAAGTGAGCCAGAAAAACAAAAAAAAAAACCCCTTGTTTAATATGTATCAAAAGATCCAAAATTAAGGGGGAAAAAAAAAGCAAAAAATATCTTTGTAGTGTTTGTCAGTTCCACTATTTTCTTTGCTAAAATGTAGTGTAACTTGCCCCATGTCAAAAATTCACACTTAATGTTTAAAAAAGTTCCAGAATTTATAACTAGCAAACCCTGTCCCCGGCATCCTGGTAATTTTCCTCTTCTTTTGCTTGCTTCTTCATTGAATACATAATGAATTTTATGCATGTTAATCTATACCCTGGCCTCCACTAAAATAGGAAACCCCCCAACTTATTATTTTTTTTTAGCAGTTTAGTGAACAAATGTCTGTCATGTTTAATCCATAATTCAAATTCAAATTAGTCTGAAAAGTTACTTCAGAATTGCCCCATATGAATCAGAGATGGTAATAGAAAAGACTCACATTACCATGTTGATTTTTAGTGTTTGTAGCATTTCAACTTCTGGAGTCTAGAAACAAAATTACTGCTTTTATTTTTGTTTATCTTAAAGTGAAACTTGTAAGTAGCATGTAATTAGGACATTTTTAGATTTGTTGAAAGCATTTTTGACATTTTTATAAAATAATTTGTGATAAAGTTAATATATCCAGATGCTCACCAAAGAAACATGTATGTAAACAACTAAAATTAGATTTTGTAACTGATCAGAATTTTCACTCATTTATAATCAGTAGGAAAGACTGTCTAGATGTTGGGGCAGTTCTGTGATTTCAGTCTGTAACATGTAATAACTGAATTCAGTACCCAAGTTTTATGTCACTAGGATTTTCTTGATAAAATTTATTCCCCCTGCCTCCTCAATCTACCTGTATTTCTCTTAATGACTTCTGGGATCCTGAGTCTCTGTGCAGTCTGAAGAAGGTATTACAGTCACAGCCATGTACTGATTGACAATAAAAGCCTCTGGCAGCAATAAAAAGTTGTCCTTAAAAAAAAAAAATAGTACTTATTTAATTGTCCAAGTATCCTTGCCTAGCTACAAATGTTCTTCCCTCTATTACGAGGAACGTATGAACCTCAACACTTGGGTCTGCGCTATGGGGATTTTCTTAAGTTTGTGTGTACATAAACAGGTGGCAGAAAATGTTGATGTAAGAACAAAATCTATGCTTTTCCATCCCCTGCAAAGGGCTCAGTATTGTACCCTCATGGCTTCTCCTGTGAAGCCCCACTTTCTGTACTGGCTGCTTCTTTCCTATTCGAGCGTCTTTGAAAAATTCACCAGGATCTCTTTCTTCCTTCTCTACCCCCATATCTTCTGACCTTCGGGGAATTTTTAAAAATCCACTTAGTGCCTTTGTGCCAGATCTTTCAATAAAGCAATAGAGTGAGAAATTGCCTGGAAAATGGAAACTGAGAAATCAGCCAATCCTGATTATTCAAACCCATTGCTCAGCCATCTTATTGAAGGTTTCACTTATACAAAGCATTAACTATAAATGTACCTATTAAATTAATGTTATCTTAAGGCTTTTGTCAATATGTGAATTTTTCAAATCATTAGTTAGATTTACTGTGGTTTTGATATGTTATATTCTTCATCAGTTCTCCTAGATTTCATTATACATGTCAAATTGGGCAGAAAGAATATGGCATTGCTACTGGTTCTACTAAACAGGAGGCAAAACAACGGGCTGCTAAACTTGCATATGACGAAATAAGAGCAGAAGAAACATCAGCGGTATGTACGACCTTTGGATTGAATTTTTATATTGCTGAATTCCCTCTGAAGTTGATTTGAACTTAGATTGTATTTACATGATGCGAAGATAGCAAATCATGTAGCAAAACGATTCCTCCATTCTGTGTCCCGCCAATGGGCCTTGAGCGTGGGGCTTCACCGGGAGAGATAAAAGTTCTCTTAGCAACTCAGGGTTATTTCTTAAACCTAGATCAAACATCCATAAAAAATGTATTAATCTTATAATTGTTTATTGTTGTGAATTTGGTAAATTTTCGAAAATAACTGTGGTAGCTAGTACACAGACATTGAACCACTGTGGAAAATTAATATTGTTCCATTTAAAAAATCTTCAGAAAGCTGACCCAACATCCTCTGGTTCTTACACTACTGCATCCACTGACTCCAGTGGCATTTCTTCTGTGACAAGCACATCGTAAGTATTGGCAAATATCTGTGATATTAAACAAATTCAAGTTACTGCCTGCAACCATTTTTATGAAAATGTTTAATGTTTAAGGAGAATGTAGAAAAAGAAATGACTGATTCATATACAAAAAAATGGACAGATAATTATCCCCTTTTCTTCTAGCACTACTGAATCACTACCTGAAAATGAATTATCAGCCAGTGAATCTGAACAAAAGCACAACGGTGACAGTTCAAAAGACTCCTTTTCACCTTCTATGGTATAGTATTAGTCTCTAAGATCCCTAGTTAATCTTCCTTTGTGTTTCCCTTTTAAAAATGATCCCCAGTACCCAACTATGATTTTTATATTTTTACCTCATTCACTCTTGCTAAAGAACAATGGTTAACAGCCTTTTAATCCTTTCTTCCTTCTCTACTGACATGCAGAATTCTTCCATACTTCCCTCCCATCTTTCTCTCACTACTCACTCTCATATTTTCATATATTTCTATAATCTTGCTTTCTCTTCCATCAACTGGACAATATTTGAAGATTCATTCATATAGCTCTGCTGCTTCTTTTTTTAAAAGAAATCATACCTAAACTTATAACAGCCAAATTTAAAAATCAGATAATTGTTGTGGTGATGATTAGTGTTACAAAAGTTTCCTGTTTATACAGAACCACAAATCAATAAGAAAAAGACAAGCAACTCAGTATAAAAATGTACAGAGGATCTGAACAGATGCTTTAGAGAAGAGATACCTAAACAGGTAGCAAACATATGAAAAGATTCTTTACTTCACTAGTAATCAGGAAAATGAAAATCAAAACAATAATTAGATATCATTTCAAACCCATCAGATTGGCAAAGTTTAACTCTTGCATGTGGAAAACAATTTGGTGGTTCCTCGAAAAGTTAAATATAGAGTTACCATATGACCCAGCAATTCCACTCCTAGATACATACCCAAAAAAATTGAAAGCAGGGGCTTAAATACTTGTACATCAGTGTTCACTGCAGGATTATTCACAATAGCCAAAAGGTGGAAACAACCTAAATGTCCATCAACAGATGAATGGATAAACAAAATGTGGTATATTCATACAATGGAATATTATTCAGCCATCAGCAGAAATAAAGTTCTGATATGTGCTATGATGTGGATCAACCTTGAAAACATTATGCTGATTGAAATAAGTCAGACACAAAAGGATAAATATTGTATGATCCCACTTAATTGAAATATCTAGAATAGGCAAATGCGTAGAGACAAAAGTTTATTAGTAGTTACCAGGGGCTGGGAGGAGGGGAGAATGGGAAGTTATTGTTTATGGATACTGAGTGGGGTGTTGAAAAATTTTGTAGATAGTGGCAATGGTTGCACAACATTGTGAATGTAATTAGTGTCACTGAATTAGTACTCTTAAAAATGATTAAAATGGCAAATTTTGTGTTATTTATGTTTTACGACAATAAAATTAAGAAATAATTTATGTCTTGCAATACCAAGTGTTGGCACAGCTGTGTTCTGATGATCGCTCTCACACCCTGCTAGTAGAAGTACAAATCAGTGCAACCATTTTGGAGAACAATTTGACAATATGTAGTAAAGTTGAGCATGTGCATGCCATATGGCCAAGCAGTTCCATTCCCAGGGCTGTGTCCTATAGAAACCCTTGCATGCGTGCACAGGGAAACGTGTAGAAGAATGTTCTTTACAACAGTGTTGCAAATTTGTTCCTATTGTGAAAAGGAAAAAAATGTAAAAGTATTATACATTAACAGGAGAATGTCTAAATTAATCATACTATAGTCATAATGTAATACCAAAGCTAGCAGGCTGTCTGAACTCAGGAAATTTTAGTCTGCTGCTTCTCTCTCCATCCAATGTCTTTAAATTGTTGAGAAACCACAAAGCCTACCAGAATACAAAGGAATAAAAGTGAAGAATAGCTTTGTGAAATGAGTGATCATCTTTTATAATTTTTGAGGGCTATCAATGAAAACCCCCCCCTTTTGTACTCAGTATTAAAATTAAATGATTAGTGTGTGCTAAGAAACCAGAATATCACCATTGCAGTTTTTAACTGATGATTAGATCATAAACTTTTGGTGAATTTTTATAAACCAGATCCCTGAACTCCATCTTTGTCTTTATTAGCGATGTGGATGATTCTGATGCACAACCTCTTATTGAGAACTGCTGACCCAGTAGATCACCAGGGACCCTTGAAGCCCATATTCTACCTGGAGAACCAGTGCTTCTGCAGAACATGTCCTACAATTCCCTTTTTTGGTCCCTTCTGCCATGTCTGCCTAGTTACTGTAATAGATGAGAACATTACAGAGTTTACTGAGAAGCAGGACTTAAAGCTGTTCATCTTATGTACGAAGAGATATGGTCACAGAACCAGCTAGAAGTAAAAGAGGAAGGAGTCTTCCTTAACCAGCTGATGATTGGTTTAATCAACTGTAACTAAATTTTCCCTTTTCTTTTCTATAGGACAGTCCCAGAAATAGTCAAAGGAAGATAAAAATGTGAGTACCATTATGCATTAAACATATTTTGAAGTGACGTTTAATTTCAGACTTAGTTTGTCAGCGTCATTTATTAAGTCTTCAGTATTAGTAGAGGATTGTATACTCTTATTTGACTGGAATTTCAGAAGAAATAGAAAACTTGGTTAAGGCTCACAAAAAGCTTGAACTCCACAAATAAAGAATATTAAATATGTGGAGAAATCTTTGAATACTATGCATACACTACACTATAGACATAAAATATTATGTGAGTATTATTAAAGCAATTGGTCAAGGGCCTTACTTTTGGATAAGACTCACAGAGCAAGTGGGCTTGGAGAGCTATTTACAAGAGAAGTGCATTATTTTGTAGACAAGTAGGTGGGGTAGAAATAGCGTAATAACTCAGGTTAAAAAAAAAAAAAAGACCAGATATTATTTAAGTTATGGCAAGTTAGTTTTTTATTTTTTAGCTGAAGAGAAAAGGCAGGATATAAATACAGTCAGAAATGAGTGAGAGGGCAGGAGGAGCCCTTCTGAGCCACCAGTATGACTGAACAGTAGGTAGACGTGTTGAAGAAGGATGATTGCTGATATGTATGTGTGAGTAGAGAAGAGAGGTCTGTGTTGGAAGATCAGGCCATCAGCCATGGTTATTGTGGCACTGAGGAGGAATAAGGAGAATTTGTGAGAAAGACTATAAAGGAAGAGTCAGCATGACTTGAAGGAATAGAGTTACATCATTTGGGTGAGAGGGTGAAGAAGAGGTAAAGGAGAAAAGATGTGAAGATTGCTTCTGTTCTGGATGGGTTGCAGGAAAGAATTGTGGCACTGATGGTGTTGAGGAGGTTGAAGACTTGTGGCTACAGAGAAGCTAACAATTTGGACATGTTTAGTTTTAGGTGGTGGTTGAACTTCTACTTGCAGGTGGCTTATGGCCAGGAAGAAGTGAAGTACAAAGGAGCAATGACTAGAATGATGGTGCAAGGACATGTGCTTCCTGAGGTGTTGAGTCTGGAGGGAGAAAAGGCGAGGCTAGTGGCTCACCAGCAATGATGTGTTAAGGCAGTAAAAGGAACCAGGAAAGGAATGAAAAATTATTCGACGCTGGAGGAGAACCACAAGTGTATAGTTTTATAAATAAAAGCGTTATTTAACACGTACTATCCTGTTGTTTGGAAACCCTGGTGGAGTAGTGGTTAAGAACTACGGCTGCTAACCAAAAGGTCAGCAGTTCGAATCCACCAGGCTCTCTGTGGAAACTATGGGGCAGCTCTACTCTGTCCTATGGGGTCGCTATGAGTCGGAATCGACTCGACGGCAACGGGTTTTTATATGCAGACAATGGAGCCTTGGTGGAGCAGTGGTTAAGAGCTCAGCTGCTAACCAAAAGGTCAGCAGTTCGAATCCACCAGCTGCTCCTTGGAAAACCTATGGGGCAGTTCTCTCCTGTCCTAAAGGGTCACTATGAGTTGGAATTTACTCAATGGCAGTGTTGTTTTTTTTTTTAATCCTGTTATTCAGGCAGCTCTGGTGGCAAAACTGGTTTGTGCTCAACTACCAACCTAAAGGTTGGCAGTTTGAACCCACCCAGTGGCTCCACAGAAGAAAGGCCCGGTGATCTGCTTCCATAAAGATTATAGCCAAGAAAATCCCATGGAGCAGTTCTACTGTGTAACACAAAGTGTTGCCATGAGTTGGAATTGACTCGACAGCAATGGATTTGTTTGTCTGTTTTGGTATCCTGTTATTCTAATGTCCCTGGATGATGCAAACAGTTAACACGCTTGGCTGCTAACATAAAGTTCGGAGGTTCGAGTCCATCCAGAAGCACCTCGGATGAAAGGCCTGGTGATCCACTTCAGAAAAATCAGCCACTAAAAACCCTGTGTAGCACAGTTCTACTCTTGACGTGCGTGGAATCGCCACAAGTTGGAATTAACAACAACTGGAATGAGAAGCTTGTTATTTTAATAAAAACCTGTTGCTGTTGAGTCAATTCTGAATCATAGCAACCCTATAGTGACCCTATAGGACAGAGTAGAACTGCCCCATAGGGTTTCCAAGGCTGTAATCTTTACAGAAGCAGACTGCTACATCTTTCTGCCTTGGAGTAGCAGGTGGGTTTGAACCAGGCTGCAGCCTTTCAGTTAGCAAGCAAGCACTTAACCACTGCACTACCAGGGCTAATAGTTGATCCAAAATATAAGAAGCTGAATACAGGGCATATTGTTGTTGTTAGTTGCTGTTAAGTCGATTCTGACTCATGGTGACCCCATGTGTGCGGAGTAGAACTGCTCCACAGGGTTTTCAAGGCTGTGACCTTTGGAAGCAGATCACCAGGCCTATCTTCCAAGGCACCTCTGGCTGGGTTCGATCCTCCAAACTTTCAGCTAGTCAAGTTATATTTGATTTCAGTTTCATTTGAGTTTTACCTTCTCTTCTTATTTTTTAGAAATTTGGCACCTAAATTTGATTGTCTTGAAGCAGAAGAAGTCAAGAATAGCAAGTATACTATGAACTCCAGGTAAGAGGGAATTGTAAAATAGAATTTGTTTAAAGATATGTTTGTTCATTCAATAAAAGTTTCTTAAGGGCTCATTGTACATCAGGTAAATTAAATTATATTTTCACCCGAACAGTTTAAATTCTTTTAGCACAGTTGGGCCCATGAAGGATCGTCTCTTAGAACAGTAGGGTTTAGAGAAATCTAAATGGAACATGGTAAATGTAGATCTATGTGATGCTTATGTGGATTTCAGTGACATCTGTGGAACTTTCTAATACTGAAAATAAACATGCTAGAAACCAGTGATTGCCAAAAAAAGATATGTGGTGGGCACCCTCAGAGAGTGAGAGGGAGGTTGAAGGGACAGGGCTCTGGAAACTGTACACTTGCAGGAACCAGAATGATGCATTTGAATATGTTTTCCTGTTTCCAGCTCCATACCACATTTCACTGGAATAAAGGATTTCTTTGCTGTAGATCATGTGTTTGGCTTTAAATGAAATATCTAAAAAAAGAAAAAAGGGCCCTGGTGACACAGTAGTTAACAGCTCAGCTGCTATCCAAAAGGTCAGCAGTTCATATCCACCAACCGCTCCTTGGAAACCCTATGCGGGCAGTTCTACTCTGTCCTATGGGGTTGCTATGAGTTGGAATCAACTTGAGACGGCAATGGTTTTTTTTATATGCAGAGAATGGAGCCCTGGTGGAGCAATGGTTAAGAGCTCAGCTGCTAACCAAAAGGTCAGCAGTTTGAATCCACCAGCTGCTCCTTGGAAACCCTATGGGGCAGTTCATAGGGTCGCTGAGATGGAATCGACTCCACGGCAACGGGTTTGGTTTTTGTTTTTGTTTTTGTTTTTGTTTTTGATGCAGGGAATGGAGCCCTGGTGGCACAGTAATTAAGAGCTCAGCTGTTAACCAAAAGGTCAGCAGTTCAAATCTACCAGCTGCTTCTTGAAATCCTGTGGGGCGGTTCTACTCTGTCCTACAGGGTCGGTATGAGTTAGAATCAACTAGATGGCAACAGGTTTGGTTTGGTTTTGGTATATGCAACAGGAAGGCATTGAATGCAAGTTTAAAAAACAAGAATCAGCAAATATTTATTAAGCACCTAATATATGCCTGGTGCTGTGTTAGGCCTTGGGTTTACGGTAGGAACTAGAAGAAACAGTTCCTGCTCTCATGGAGTTTGCAGGGATGAGCAACATTAAAGACACAGTTACATTAGTAAGTGTGTAGTTACAAACTTTGGTCAGGCTGTGAAGGAAAAGTGATGGAATGGTGAGAAACTAAAATAGAACCCCTGGATTTCAAGTGAGGGGTGAGGTAAGCCTTCTCTGAGGTTGCGTTTGTGGGAAGGCCTGGAGGAAGAGTTAGTCCAGGAAAGTGGGGGGGTTGGGTGCTAGGAGAAGGGAAGGGCATGTGGGAAGGTTAAGGTGGAAAAGGTAGCTGTGAGTGTTCAAGAGGCAGAGAGAAGGCTGTGTGCTAGGAGTGCGGTGAGCAAGGGCACAGCACCATGAGGCAAGGCTGTGGCCAAGTCATGTGGCACCTTGTAGGCCATTTAAGGGATGTATTTTTTTGCTAAATGCAAAGGCAAGTGGTTGGAGAGTTTAGACAACAGGGTGACATGGTCAGACAAAGTTTTATTACTCTGATTGCTCCATGGATCATGGATTGGAGTGGTGGCCAGAGAGGAAGTGGGGTGTCCAGTTAGGAAGGTACTGCAAGAGCTGGTAGAAGCTTGGACTGGTGTGAAGATGTTGGAGATGGAGAAACGTGGACAGATAGCAGAGAGATGTTTGGAAGTAGAGTTGTTAGGGCTTCATGATGGAATGTGGGCCACGAGGGGAAGGGGAAAACCGGGTCATTATAAACCTAGGCAGACTCGGAACGTATGCTCATTTATCGATTGAATGCAACATGGCTATTCTTTCTGAAGTTTTAGACTTGTATTAAGATACTTTACTATGGCTTTTGTACAGCCAGGAGGTAATCTGTGTTAGACTGTCCATGGCAAGTGGAAGGGGAGGGCCTTCTAGCCTTTGTGATTCAAGAGTTTCTGTGACATGGACCCTCCTTATTCAGAAGGAGAGAATCTTGTTTGTTATACATTCGATTTGACAAGTGTCATTAAAAGAAAAGGAGGTGGTGATGGTACCTCAGAATAACATATGATATTTATCTTTTAAGGTTTGTTAAGGATTTTGAAGAAATAGAACCAATTGGCACAGGTGGATATGGCCAAGTTTTCAAAGCAAAGCACAGAATTGATAAGAAGACTTACGTTATTAAACGTGTTAAATATGATAATGAGTAAGTAGTAAATGTTCTTTTTTCTTAATGAGAAGATATGTTGAACCTACTCTATTCTTTTTATGTTTCTCTCTTCTCCATTTTCTTCTAACATTTTTTTCTTTCTGGTCTTCCTTAAAAATTTAATTTTACCATCAGGAGCTTGACTTACTTTGAAAAGATCTCATTGTGCTCTCATTATTTCAGTAGAAAATGGATATTCCATTGATCATACTTCTGAGGCTGTCTTGGTGAATAGAAGTTATAGAATCATATGGCTGAAGGTGACATTTAAGATTTTCTAATCTCATCTCATTTTACAGATTAGAAGACTAAAATCTAAAGATGTGAACTTATTTGTCTAAGGGAAAAGCAAGTTGGCAATTGTTCTGGATATTGCTGTATAATACACCACTGAAAACTGAGGTGGCTTAAAACAGTTTATTATTATCTCTCGTGGTGCTGTGGATTGGTTGGGCTCATCTAGGCAGTTCTCACTTGGAGTCTTCCATGCATTTGCAGTCAGGAGTCATCTGAAAGCTTGACTAGGCTGGATGTCCAAGGTGGCTCTCTCACATGGCTAGCAGCTGATGCTGGTGTGGGCTGGAAGTTTAGCTGGGACTGTTAACCACAGTGCCTCCACATGGCCTCTTCACATGGGCGGGGCCTCTCACAGCTTAGTGGGTAGGTTCAGAGAGGGATTGTTCAAGAGACCGGGAAGAAACAGCGAGGCTTCTTTTGACCTAGTTAGTCCTGGAAGTCCCAGAACGTTACTCCCATCCCATTATACTGGTTAAACAAGTCACTAAGGAGGCACAGTGGTTAAAAGCTATGGCTGCTAACCAAAAGGTCGGCAGTTTGACTCCACCAGCCACTCCTTGGAAACCCTATGGGGCAGTTCTACTATGTTTTATAGGGTCAGTATGAGTGGGAATCGACTCAATGACAGTGGGTTTGGAAGGCCAGCTCAGATTCAAGGTTCAAGGTAGATAGACAATACCTCTTGATTTGAGTACATGTGAGTACAGGGAGGGAAGGAACTGGTGATGACTGTCTTTGGAGACTACTACAGTAACATAGTGGAGATTTAGAATTCATCCTTTTGAATGTCAATCCACTGTGTTACCACTATAATCCATTGCTTCCTATGATTATTTTATGTTATCTGCTTTCCTGCCCACTGTATAGTAGAGCCTCCTCAGGAGGAGAAACGCACAGGAAGGAAGTCTTTAATGCCATGTCCCCAGTGGATGAATCTTGCTTGTTGCTTTCTGGCAGCTGTTACTGTGTGCAACTTAGCCAGACTGATCTCTCAGGGACTAGAGAAGGGGATGAAAAAAGGATCAGGTCTAAGCAGAATAACAAGAGCAAAAGAGAGGGGGCATGGAGTCCTAGGTGTTCCTTACCCCAGTCAGTCGAGCCTCCTTCCTGTCCCCTGTACAATGCCTTGCAGTTGAAATACCCTCATACTTACCATCAAAACAGGGCTTATTGGGGGAAAAGGTGAGCCATTGTTTAGGAGGAAGTGCATTTTTGTTTATGGTGATGGGAAATTTGGCAACAATTATGGGTGATGGGTATACAACACGATTAATGCAATTGATAATCACTAAATACCTGTAAATGTTGAATTGGCAAGTGTTGTGTTTTTTATATATGTATATATGTATTTTTTTTTTTAGCAATAAAAAAGGTTTTTTTCCTTCTTCATTGTTCTACTTAACAGGAATGAAGTACTGTTGTTTCTTGTGTACACTAGCAATTTTAAAAAATGATAATAGTGTTGATAAGGGTGCAGTATCTTGGACATTTCTGGTGGCTTTGTATATTGGTACAACACTTTTAAAATTGGAAATATTAATCTATAGCCAAAAATATACGCTTTGATCCAGGGATGTCCCATCTGGGAAGCTATTCTAAGGGCATTATCTAAATTATGGAAAAAGCTATAAAAGAATGTATAAATCACAATGTCATTTATATCAGTGAAAAATTAGAACAAACAAAATGGTCCAGTAAATTTGTTGTTCTTTCCTCTAATCAATCATTTAAAAATTAAAAAATTAAAAATGAGGGTTATATACTGAAATATATACAAATGAAATGATATGACACTAGAAGTTTCTTCAGAATAGTCCAGGGTAAGATGAGGAAGTGGGTAGGAATATAGATGAAACAAGCCTGCCAGGAGTCAGTGAACTATTTCAGTTGGTGATGGCTATATACCAAAAAAAAAAAATCTGTTACCATTGAGTTGGTTCTGACTCTTTATACTAGTCTCTCTACTTTTTTTGTATTTTTGAATCTTACATAAAAATTTACAAGTGATGGTTATACAGATTGTGTAACAACAAGGAAAATTGTAAAGATACCATGCTATGTGGAAAAAATAGGATAAGTATTATATACTATCATAAGAAATATGTAAAAATACATTTGAAGAAAGACTATAAGAAATAATACAATATAGTAACTGATTGTTTTAGGATTGTTGAAGTATGATAAGCTTTTCTTTATTGTTACAAATTTTATGTAATGTAGTTGTCTTAGTTATCTAGTGTTGCTATAACAGAAATACCACAAGTGGATGGCTTTACCAAAGAGAAATTCATTCTCTCACAGTCTAGGAGGCTAGAAGTTCAAATTCAGGGTGCCAGCTCTAGGGGAAGGCTTTCTCTCTCTCTGTCAGCAATGGAGGAAGGCCCTTGTAATCAGTCTTTCCCTGGTGTAGGAGCATCTCAGTGCAGCTACCCCGGGTCCAAAGGACACGCTCTGCTCCTGGCACCACTTTCTTGGTGGTATGAGGTCCCTTAGTCTCTCTGTTTGCTTCTGTCTTTTATATCTCAAAAGATATTGATTTGAGACACAGCCTAATCTTGTAGATTGAGTCCTGCCTTATTAACATAACTGCTTCTAATCCTGCCTCATTAACATCATAGAGGTAGGATTTACAACACTTGAGAAAATCACGAGATGACAAAATGGTGGAAAACTACGCAGTACTGGGGATCATGGCCTAGCCGAGTTGGTATACATTTTGGGGGGACACAATTCAATCCATAACAGTAGTTATAGAAGTTTTATAATTCAAAAAAAAATTGTAAAATGTTTCCTTATCCTTCCTCATCCTTGAAAATCTCAAATTTATTTGCTGTATTTAGCATGGAATTGTCTTAGCTCTTGACTATGCCGTACTGCAAATCTTCCACAGTCCTCAGCGAAGTCTCATTTTCTCTGCATTGATGATGTCCTTTGTGTATTTTTGCCACATATTTAAAATTCTAAAGTAGGTTCTTCGTGTTGCCCAGATTACCTATCTGTACCAACCGGATGCAATTTGCTTATGAAATCCAAAGTAAGTTTAACATAAGCCTAAACAAAACGTAGTTTATGAATTAGCTCCCAAAATAGTATCATTGGCATTTCAGATACTACTATAAATGATTTTTTAAATTGGTGTTTGGAACTTTTTAAGTCACTGCTCTTTCTTTTATGTTGAGAGTGAGAACAGTTATGCTTTTTACATTTTTTTCTTTTGTGCTTTCCCAGCTTCCTCTTTGGACCATAAGCTCCTCGAAGGCCAACTGTTTTATTCTCGGAAGTTCTAAAACTTCCATTCAAAAACTCAGGGTGTGGAAAGCACAGGGGCTGTTTAGTCAGTGAGCGGAGATAGTTGTCTCCTGTTACTCGAGGTATTTTGTAGTTGCTCTCAGGGATGTATACTGATATTTTCATTTTCTCTATTTCTTTTAACTAGGAAGGTAGAGCGTGAAGTAAAAGCATTGGCGAGTCTTAATCATGTCAATATTGTTCACTACCATAATTGTTGGGCTGGAGATGATTATGATCCAGAGATCAGCATAAATAAATCAAGGTAACTAAAAAAACATTCCCATAGCCATATTGGGAAGGGAGGAAATGGTCATTTTCTATGTGTGGGCTCCTGGATATGTCCATTAGTTATCATATTTAATAATCACAACCACCCTGAGAGATACTGTTATCTCTCCATTCTACAGGTAAGGAGATAATGAACAGTTCCTTGCTCCACTCCTTGCTCCAAACTTGCTTTAAAAACCCCTTTTTATTGTCCTCAGCTTTTTTCAAAATCTCAGGTTTAGCTCTCCTGACTCAATTGTTTAATGTATAGTCTTGGTCACGAGCCCCTGCTTCAGTACAGTATGAGTCTTATAAGGAAAATTTTAACAAGTTTTAGATGCTGCATCTGGAGGCTCCCTCCTTGACTGCCAGCACTTTTCTGCCCTTCTCTTAGGCCCCTGATGGGAGGAGTACAGTCGAGGGGTCTCTCTCAAATGCAACCATACAACTTATGGTGGGGTGGTAGGTGGTGAAAATGATTTTAAGACAGTGAGCTGTGATGGGGCACCCCGCCTTCCGTCACTCATGTGTTGTCTCAGTAAGGGACTGCCAAAGGACTAGGGGTTCTAAAGAGATGGCATCTGCCTTTGAAAGTTACCCTGTGTTTCTTGGGAACAATCCTCTCCCGGAAATCCTGAAGCCATTGGAGTTCTGTTCATTCATTTTCTCCTGAGAGACGGCCCATTCTGCATCCCACGTAGTTGACAATTTTATTATCAGTTTCAGGAGTTATTGACCATCAGCATATAGGACTTCTTCAGCTTTCAGCAAACTCTTGGCTACATCTTCTTCTTTTCTAGCCAGCATGTTCAAAGAATATAAATTAATATTATAACCAACTTAACTGAGTGAAAAAACATGGCTAGCAAGGTCAGTCCTCCAGCTTATAGCCCATAGCGATTTGCTGGCACTTCTCTTAGTCTACCTGAACTTGTATTGTTGTTTTAGGTTTGTTTCTTTTTACCTTTCTGCTATTGGACTATAATTCCCATTATGGCAGGGACGGTGTCTAACTCATTTTTTCACCTCTAGATGCCTGTTCTGTGTCTTTCATAAAATATATGTTCAATAGATCGATAATAAACTTTTTCAAGTTTGCTTTATATAATAAAGATTTTGAGTTTTCTATGATTCCATTGTATTAATGCTCTTATTCCTATCTATTAGCAAAGGTGACCAAGGACTTTCAGCATTAAAGCATGGGTAGGCTGATACTTTATAAATTACCTGAACAAATAGAGCTTTAGACTTCTGGGATCTTCTCATTTACTAAAAATGGTTTATTATATTTTGATTCAAATTTATTTATTATATGTAGATTTCTGTTTTGATACATGTTTCAGGGTTTGTTAAGAAGATAAGGTATAATAAAAAAGAGCAAGTGTATTTTTTTACAAATTTATTTTTATTGCTACTTTTAACATACTGTGAATTTTATATCCAGGTCAATGACTAAATGTCTTTTCATCCAAATGGAATTCTGTGATAAAGGGACATTGGAGCAATGGATTGACAACAGACGAGACAAGAAATCAGACAAAGATTTGGCTTTAGATTTATTTGAACAAATAACAAAAGGAGTAGCTTATATACATTCAAAACGGTTAATTCATAGAGACCTTAAGGTAAGTGGGAAATGTACTTTGTTAGGAGCTTTTAAATATAATTTACTAATTATAGCGTCTGTGTGTCTGTCTACCTTCTCCAACACACAACAGATCTCCTCTCTGACATCAAATGCAAATGCAGTTCTTCTTCCTCTGACCCTAACCACCAGAGCGAGGTCAGTTGTCACAAGTTAAACAAACTGCCAGTTCTGCTCAAGACTTCAGATGCCAGTCCAGCACAACTAGATGGTGCCCAGCTGCCGCCACCAACTGCTCTGACAGGGTTCACAACAGAGGGTCCCAGACAGAGCTGGAGAAACATGTAGAACAAAATTCTAACTCACAAAAAAAGACCAGACTTACTGGCCTGACAGAGACTAGAGAAACCCTGAGAGTATGGCCCCCGGAAACCATTTTAACTCAGTACTGAAGTCACTCCTGAGGTTCACCTTTCAGCCAAAGATTAGACAGGCCCATAAAACAAAATGAGACTAAGTGGGCACACCAGCCTAGGAGCAGGGACTAGAAGGTAGGGGGGGACAAGAAAGCTGGTAATGGGGAGCTCAGGGTCGAGAAGGGGAGAGCATTGACATGTCATGGAGTTGGCAACCAATGTCACAAAACAATATGAGTATTAATTGTTTAATGAGAAACTAATTTGCTCTGTAAATCTTCATCTAAAGTACAATAAATAAATAAATATTTACAAAGGAAAAAGAAAAGACTTCAGATGCCAGCCATAAGCTTGGGAGTTCCCAGGCCCCCCTCACTTCTGACCTGCTGGCGACAAATTTGGGAGCTTCTCCTACCCCAGGTTCAGTAATTCACTAGAACAACTCACAAACTCAGGAAAGCCCTATACATACAATTAAGGTTTTAGTACAACAAAATGATACGAATGCAGACATTCATAGGACGAGGTCTGAAAGGGTCCTGTAACCGGACTGTTGTTCCAGGTCCGCTCCGCGCAGCCATAGAGACACGAAAACGGGTGAAAGCGAAAGAAGCAGCTTTATTTGGTTGGCCAAGCAAAGGAGCACACCGGGACTTGCGTCACCAAGATGGCTGCCAGAAAGGGAGTTTATATGGGTGAAGTAAATTGGGTCTGGGGTCTTCAGGAAAGCCTTGAGGTGGGGCCAGCTTGCTGATTGGTCTGGCCCAGAAAGGCATTCCTGGGGCAGTCCGGCCTTTCTGCACTTGCTCAGTCTAAAAAGGAGGGGTCTCTCAAACCGATCTTAGGCTCAGACCCCTCGGTTCTGAGAGCCTTCTGCCAAACTTGGGCCGCTATAGTTTGGTTCCCTCCGGTGGGAGAAGAGTTCCGGGGTCACCCAGAGGACAGGGGTCAATGGTTCTGTGCATGTCAGATCTAGTTCTTGCCAGTTTCAGCTCATCCTGCGACCTAAGTCTCTTATTTTCCTCAACTTGGCGGACTACAGGAAGCATACTTAAATAAGGAGATAGCTTAAAGACAGGGAGTTAGTTCCTATATCACATAAGATGGCAGGCACAGCCCTTTGCCTATTGAAGATGGTAGGCAGGCTGCCAGTCCTAGTCCCCAACACAGAGCTTGTATGTCCCAAAGGAAGCGCAACCTTAACAAGCATTGATGTCTTTTATTAACTAGGAAGTTCAGTGAGCTTCAGTGTCCAGAGTTTTTGTTGGGGTTTCATTATGTAGGAATGGTTGATTAATTATTACCCACATGGTTGAACTCAGTTCCAGCCTTGAACCTTTACCTTGAGATGTGGCAGATGTCTTGTGATGGGCCTTTCTGGCCTGGCCAGCCCCCACCCAAGAGTCGTCTCATTAGCATAACAAAGATTCCATTCACTTGGTAAATTCTAATGGTTTAGAAGTTATCTCTCGGGAACCAAGGACAAAGACCAAATTCCTTGAAGAAAGTTAATTGTATACCCCATAGTAGTTAAAAATCCATCTTCTCTAGTTTTAGAATTTATGATTGATTGATAGTCATAAGGAAATGATATTTCTGAGGTTAGACTGGGTCTAGAACTTGCCACAAATCCCATTCCATAGAACCTCTCTGAAGATCTGGGCTACTGAACTTCTTATGACAGTGAACCCTATAGAAGACTCATTCAGTCATGGTCCTATTTGGCTGATAGTCATACTCCAGTTGTAAACTCTTAGAGCTTTAGTATCCTGAACATTTCCATGCAAATAATTATTGTGACTGGCACAACCAATGGGCTGCCCTGTCCTGGCCTCTGCTGCCAATCGGGCATGGTTGGTGGCTGCAGATTTGGGAACACAGTTCTCCCAACCTCTTAGCCATTACTCTTGAGGGCAGTCACAGCTGCTGTGCCCAGAGTCAGGTTTTTTTTTTCGCATTTGGTTAGATATTTCTGCTCCATGATTGGAAAATCTGAGTAATCCAAAACTTAGATCGCGGTATCATCCTTTAGTATTTTTATTTTCTTCTGGTTTCCTAGCTTCTTTCATGGTCTGGACCAACAGTTTTCCCATTTTTCCTTCTCATCAAAATGAAAGAAGAGAGAGAGAACAGCTATTCACAGTCTCCATACTCACTTCCCTGTGATTTGCCCACTCCCATCACAAACTAGGCAGGCTGAATCCTATCACTAAACCTTTGCTCACGTTCTCACACGCACCACTCTTCTGCCTGTCTCTGGCACCGTTTCCTTTATATAGCCTTTCCTGATCACTCTAGAGGCCTTTCCCTTTTGTAGACAGAAGCATCTTATCTATATGGATTTTGGCCGTCTACTTACATCATCTAAAACAGCCAGGAGTGCGGAACAAAGCAAAAAAGTTCCTGGAGAAAAATAAGCATCCATGTATATAGTGGGTGTTGAACTAGATAGGAATAATAAAAATTTTTAGAAAAAACAGTTGCATTCATGTTGACTCTGACTTATGGCAATCCCATGTGTGTCAGAGAAGAACTGTGCTCCACAGGGTTTTCAATGGCTGATTTTTTTTTAGAAGTAGATCACCAGGCCTTTCTTCCAAGGTGCCTCTGGGTGGACTCAAACCTCCAACCTTTTGGCCCTTAAAAGGTATTGCCACCTTGGTCTGCTCAGGGGCTGGATGTCTGGCGCCTCAGTGTGTAAGTCCATCTAGTTCCAATATCTCTTTTTAACAATACCTGAAGGCGTTCTTTAATGTTAGAACATTATAACTGTATTCAGAAGGGTAAGTTTAGAATGGCCATACCTTCACTTTGGAATAAGTCATACATATAATTAATAAGAAAGTAAGAACACTTGTTGATATACAGTAACCTGCAAATAAAGTACAGAAGTTTGGGTATTAACTTCCAGGCTGTCTTCAGGATGAATTAGTGAAACCTGCCACTGACTGTGGCTCTGGGAAGTGTCTTGGTCCTGATACTAACTGGATTCTCCTTTCTTCTACCACCTCATCTGTCCACTCTCTCCTGTACCCCACATCATCTGTGTCCTGAGTATGGAGTTATCTTTTCTTGGGTCTGTCTGCAGAGAATTTTTGCTCTATGCATGCAGGTACTCAAAGGTCAGACTCTAATGCTGGATCCTTCTTTCATCTTCTGCTTCTCTACCTCTTACTGCTACAGTTGCTGCTTTCTCTCATTTGAGAGAAGATGCCAGTGAAGGTGGGCACTTTTTTATGATGCTTTTCTAAATTCCAGCTGTAGGCGGTTTGCCACCAAATGGTCTTTACCCAATAAAGCCCCACTTTGTAAAAACTTTACAGTGTTTACCTCTTTATGTTGGAATCTTAAGAACTAGACCAAAGGTGCTGGTGAGAGACCTGGACACGGGTTTCTGGAGTGAGGGCTTACTATTTGTGGCTGCTTCTCTGTTGGAGGTTTGGTCCCCAAAAAGGTCTAGGGTCGTTGGTCAGCTTCAGCCTGAGGATGAGCCCCTGTTCCTTGAGTCTCCTGTATGAAGTTTGCACCCATTTTCTGTGCTCTACAACCACACATTTCACCTAATCATAACATCTGATTAGACAAAATGTGGCACTATTGCTTTTCTTTTTAATTTTAATGGACTCTAAACAATTGAGATGATGTTTTTACTATAGTCCCATCCAGTTTATATACTTAGACAACATCATCAACTCAACATCCTTTCTCAGTCTAGGACTCAGATGGGACAATTACAAACCTAACAGATTCCTACATGGTAACTTTAAGATCGTATAGGAGTCTCCCCTTGCCACACGCACTTTGTGCACATCTGTAGCTTTCCATGTATGTTATTGGCTTTAGGTTCCATTCTGTTCATTGAATTCTAACCTAACTGCCAATTTCTGCATGAGCCTTCTCAGGCTGGCTTCTTGGAAGCTCCTCTTGTAGACTTCTGCGGGCTCATGTCCTCTCTCCTCTCAGTTTCTTTACTAGGCCCTCTCATAACTGTTCTCCCACATCATCTGCGTGTGTATAGCCCAGCATCATATTGAAAGTCTAGTCTTTTCAAGGATGATAACATTGATTTCATCATCTATCTTTCCTTTTTTTAAAAAATTTGCTTAAACAATTACATGGAAAAAATACTTTGGTGCTAGCAATCAGCTTCCTGTTAACTTGGTCTCCAGGTAAGGTGAAGGGGTTCTATTTATTACATTGTCAAAGGCCTGGAGAAACTGACATAAACGAAGCCCCCAGGAGAAAGTCTGCACAGGATATTCTGCAGCATTTCTGAGAAAGGACCCATCTAGAGAATCTCAGAATTAGAAAAGATCTTAAGGGTATCTTCTTCAACCCTTATAAGAGCCTGGACTTATATATGCAACATTTCCACCAAGTGGGTGTCCAGCCTCAGCTTGTATACTTTCTGGAATGAGGAATTCTTTTTTTTTAATTAAAAATTTTTTTTTTATTGTACTTTAGATAATGGTTCACAGAGCAAACTAGTTTCTCATTAAACAATTAATACACATATTGTTTTGTGACATTGGTTGCCAACCCCACAACATGTCAACACTCCCCCCTTCTTGACCTTGGGTTGTGGGATGGGGAATTCTTTAACTCCTGTTCTTTGGACCACACAATGAGTAGTGTTGTTGTTGTTAGCTGCTATGGGGTGGAGTCTATCCACGATTCATGGTGATCCCACGCACAATGGAACAAAACTTCCTGGTCCTATGCAGTCCCCGTGACTGGTTGCGGATCAGACCATTGTGATCCATAGGGTTTTAATTGGCTGATATTCAGAATAGATTGCCAGGCCTTTCTTCCTAGGCTTAGACTGGAAGCTCTACTGAAGCGTGTTTAGTATCATTGTTATCAGTTGCCGTGGAACTGATTCAGATTCATCGCTACCCCGTGTGTGCTGAGTAGAACTGCTCCATAGGGTTTTCGAGGCTGTGACCTTTCAGAAGCAGATCACCAGGCCTGTCTGCTGAGGTGCCTCTGGGTGGGTTCAAACCACCAACCCTTCAGCTAGTGGTTGAGCACTTACTATTTGTGCCACCCAGTGACTCCGTTCAGCATCATAGCAACATGCAAGCCTCTACTGACATACAGGTGATAACTGTACATGAAGTGCATTGGCCAGGAGTCAAACCCCAGTTTCCTGCATGGAAAGTGAAAAGTCTACCATTGAACCACTACTGCCTCCATTAGTATATTAGAATATGTGAAAGCAAATCTTTTGGTCATTTCCATCCTCTACTCCCAGATTCATTTCCTGGCACCACAGAGAATCAACCCAGCCCCCACTTGACAGCTCTTCAGATATTTGAAGGCAACTATTCCCCCAGCCTTTTCTGCCGTTAGCTAAAAAGTTTCTTACTTCCTCCAGCTGACATTTTAAAGACCTGTGATTTTAAATTTCCTGACTTGGGCTACCTGTGTAAGGCTAAATGCCTGTGTAAGATTAAATAGGAAGACGGTATAAGTAATTTACTTATAAGTTAATAGAAAAATGGTTGTTGCTAAATATGATTCAGATATGTGGTAAAAGTTTGTCAAATTGCTATGTATAAATTAAATATATGTATTTTTTTCCTTAGCCGAGTAACATATTTTTAGTACATACAAAACAAGTAAAGATTGGAGACTTTGGACTTGTAACAACCTTGAAAAATGATGAAAAGCGAACGGTTGAAAAGGGAACGTTGCTATACATGAGCCCAGAACAGGTGCAGTCCCTTTCCTTTCTGTCTATATGTTTCTGACTTTTTTGGTTTTTTTAATTATACAAATAATAGCAATTCTTATAAAATTGAAACAGAGCAGAAGTATATAAAAGGAAAATGGAAAATTTCCCTTAACTTTCCTCTCTACTTCTGCTCTCATTGCTAGTTTGTTGTTTATCCTTTTAGATCATTTTCTGTGAATTATATAAAAATATACAAACAAAAATACATACACAAACATTTTAACATAAAAATGTACGCACATTTTTACAAGTATACTGTAATTTTGTGACTTTTTTCGCTCAATAATATAATCTTTCCATTATCCATACAAATAGATAGTACAAATAGTACATTCCTTTACCAACTGCATTGTATTCCAGAATACAGATGTACCATCATTTATTTAACCACGTCCTTATTGATGGGCATTTATTTAGGCTATTTCCAACTGTAGAGTCAGCGTGTCATGTTCCATAATGAGTGGGGTTAAGATTGTGATCGCAGTTGCACTGAATTCAAGGATTCAGTTGAGGAAAATTGACATCTATATATGTATTTGAGACTTTCCCAGGAAACTGGGATGTGTCTCACACTAATTCAAGTCCTCCATCAGTCAGATTTTGCAGGATATACTCTGGTAATAATAGCATGGATCCCCAATATCCTAATGGCTTACAAAACAGCACAGTATTATTCTTGCTCACATTACATGTTGGCCACAAGCTGGCTGCAGTTGGGTTCCATGTGTCCACTTCATTCCAGGGCCCTGGCTGAAGGAAAAACCCTATCTGGGTTATTGCTGTCCTCATGGCAGAGGTAGACCCTTGTGATGGCTTTTATTGGCTGTCCTCAGCGATGGCATGATCACTTCCACTCATGTTTCATTGCCCAGAGCCAACTGCATGGCTGAGCCCAAGGCAAAGTTTCTAACTTTTTACATTTACAAACATGTTATGATAAACACCAGCAGGGCAGTGAACAATTGGGAGCAATGATACAACGTACTTCAAGGCAGCCTTTATATTCTTTAATGAAGTTTTCACCAAATATTTTTTCTTTATGAAGATTGTTCATACTTTTTAAGCTTTTTCTTGAATATGTATAGTGTTTTTCTATTAAAATGGGATTTTTGTATCTAATTGGTTATTTGTGAGGCTATTGATTTGTGAATGTTTATCTTATATATAGACTCACTATTCCAATAGTATTTTTTTCCTCATCAGTTTCTCAATTTTATTGGTCTTTTCAAAGAATCAACTTCTGATTTTTTTAATTTATTTATTGTACTTTAGATGAAGGTTTACAGAGCAAATTAGTTTCTCATTAAATAATTCTAACAGTATTTTTGTTGTTGTTGTTGATCTATTGTCCATTTTTCATTTGGGGTTGTTCATTCTGTTTTTGTTATTGCCCTTTAAAGATGATTTTACTGATAACATATCTTATAAAATACCTCTTCTGTTTTGTTCCAAGAAGAAATACACCTTTGGGGATGGCTTGGACCATTTAGCACAAAACATAATTAAAGTTTTGTGAAGAGTTTGAAAGTAGAACACTATAGAGGGCTAACAGCTAACAGCTCCCTTTTAACTCCAACTTTATTAAATATCTCCTGCATCCTAGGTTGTTACTCTGAGAATTTTAAAATACAGTCATGTGCCACATAATGTCCCTTTGGGCAACATCTGAATGCATATACATCTCTGGTCCCATAAGTTTATAATAGAGTTCAGAAATCTCCATCGGAGAACAGGACATAGCAGATGTAACTGGATGTAGCGAACACAACAGCTTTCCACACACAACTTGTATCTCGTGTCTCTTGTATACAAAGCGATTGCACTGCCAGGCATATAATGGTACAGCACATATATAACTTAAAATACGTCTTGATAGTCATAATAAACACCTGTGTTACTGGCTTATGTATGTACTGTACTGTACTTTTTGTCATTATTTTGGTGTGAATTTTCCCTACTTATAAATAAAAAGTTTACTGTATAACAGTGTATGCTTCAACTCGTAGGCAGCAGCATCCAAGCTCATGTATTGCACGTCTATTGAGTGTTGTGGCATTATCTCTCTAATTTTCTTTCAAAAATATTACCGTGAAGTACATCATGCCTCTCAAATGCAGCAGTCCGTTCTTAAGTATGAGTTGTCTGTAAGTCGGATGTTTGTAACCCAGGGACTGCCTGTAATATGATGTTCGCACAACATCCAAATCACATAATGACCTGTTTCACAGGATGTATTGTGGATGTTAAGTGATGCATGGCTGTACATCATCATTGTGCTTTTCTGTTTCTTAGGTGATTTTCTAAAACTTAAAAGCACTTTATTGAGCAAAAATTTATATATAGTAAAATGTATAAATCTTAAGTATACATTTTTTAGTTTTGACAACTGCATATACCTCTGTAACCCACAAACCTATGAAGATGTAGAACATTTTCATCTCCCAAGAAAACTCCCCCCAGCCACTTTCCAGTCATTCCCTCCTCCCCACTGCACAGAGGGAACCTGGGTTCTGATTTCTGTCCCCATAGATTAGTTTTTTCTGTTCTTGAACTTCGTATAAATGAAATCCCACAGAATGCATTCCTTTGTATTTGATTTCTTTTACTCAAAGTAATGTCTGTGAGAATACTTGTAGTTGTTGCATATACCAGACCAAAACCAAACCCACTGTCATTGAGCTGATTCTGACTCATAGCTACCCTATAGGACAGAGTAGAACTGCCCCATAGGTTTTCCAAGGCTGTAAATCTTTATGGAAGCAGACTGCCACATCTTTCTCCCGTGGAGCAGCTGATGGGTTCAAACTGCTGACCCTTCAGTTAGCAGCCGAGCGCTTAAACACTGCACCACCAGTACTGGTAGATTATTCCTTTTTATTTCTGAGGAGTATTCCATTGTATGAATATACCACAATTTGTTTATCCATTTTCCTGTTGAGGAATATTTAGATTGTTTTTAGTTATAGAATATTACAAATAAAGCTTCTATGAACATTTGCATACAAGTCTTTTTATGGAAGAAGCATCTATGGTGATATTTTACTGTTTATTCCACATCTTAACCGCATGCTTACTTTAAATAATGGATCCAACAGAGGCAGAATTGGTAAAGGCTTAAGCTTATCATTTACCTATTTAGTATTAGACTTAAAAGTTTTTAATGTACGCTATATAATCTAGCATTCTTGGCCAATAATTATAATAATGTCTAACGTTTTTGAGTATGCCGGCACTGGGTGAAATATTTTACCCCTACTAGGCACTGTTTTTAAGGAGCCCTGGTGTCACAGTTGTTAAGCACTCTAAACTGCTAACTGAAAGGTTGGCGGTTTGAACTCACCAGCTGTTCCATGAGAGAAAGATGGGGCAGTCTGCTTCCGTAAAGATTTACATCCTTGGAAACCCTATGGGGCAATTCTACTCTGTCCTGGAGGGTCACTGTGAGTCAGAATGGACTCGATAGCAATGAGTTTTGGGTCTAGGCACTATTTTTAGTGCTTTACATGCTGTATCTCACTTAATCCCCACAACAAACTCTGAGGTCAACACTATTGCTATCCTCATTTTATAGTGGACATTAGTCCCACATTTACGGTTGAATAGTGGCAGAGCTGTGATTAGAATCTGGACAGTATGATTCCACAGCTTCTGCTAATAAACCTACATTGTTAAAAGATTGTGGTAAAATAACTTTTTTGGCTTCTCAATGCATGCATATTTATATTGGGTGAGTAACAGATGTCAATATCACATTTTGTTCTCTTCAGATGTCTTCACCAGAATATGGAAATGAAGTGGACATCTTCACTTTGGGGCTAATTCTTGCTGAGCTTCTTCACGTATGTACTACTGTTCAGGAAACAGTCAAGGTAAATAATCTCAAAGAAAGAATTAAGGGGGGGGAACAAATAAACTAAATTGCAAAAAAGAATTAAGGGACAAAAATTATTGACCATCACCTTCAAAGTGCTACAGCAAACAGCTCTTGTCCTTGTGTGAGGATGGGCTTGAATATTTCTAACTGCAAGTGAAATATGGATTTTCTCTATTTCAAGTTTGGCTACCATTTTGTTAAAGACCAAAATTTTTATCTTCTCTGGAAGGTGTGTACATCTCATAAAACTACAGCTGTTTCTTCTTATTCAAGTCAGCCAGTAAATTTTTATTGATTGCCTGCTTTGTGGAAGACACTATCCTAAGGGTTATATCAGTGAATAAGCCTTGTTCTCAAGGAGCTTATTTTCTAGATAGGGAGAATAAAAGAGAATGCAATACATGTTTTAGGATAGGGCATAAAGTGTTATGGAAGCAGCTAGAAGGGAGATCTTTCCAGCTGTAGGGATTTAGGTTTCACGAAGGCATTTAAGCTGGGCCCTGAAGGATCGGTTGGCTTCCAATAGTCCAGTACAGGGAGAAGGTGATTCAGGCATTCAGACAGGACCGTACAGGGTGTCTTTGGAAACAGCAGGTGGTGTCATTTTGCTGGAGCATATGAGGTACAAGGAAATGGTGGTTAGCAGAGCTGGGAAGGCAGGTTGGGACTAAATTGAGACAAGAATATAGACTTTCTTGTGTAGGCAGTGGGGAGCCTCTAAAGGCAGTGTTGTTGGTAAGTGCCATCAAGGCAATTCTGACTCATAGTGAGACAGGGGAGAACTGCCCCACAGGGTTTTCTTGGCTGTAATCCTTACAGGAGCAGGTTGCCAGGTCTTTCTCCTACAGAGTTGCTTGATAGGTTTGAACAGCCAACCTTACAGTTAGCAGCTGAGCTCTTAACCATTGCATCACCAGGGCTTCTCTCTAAAGGTAGTAGGCAACTGGAGATCTAAGTGTGAAGCTCACCTGGAGTCAACAGCCTTCTTCTCTGTAAAACGGGGATAATGAAAGTACCTATAGGACAGGGTTCCAGAAAGGATAAAGGGAGATAATGCATACAATGCACTTAACACTTGGTATTGGTGGCACAGTGGTTAAAGCACTCGGCTGCTAACCGAAAGGTGGGTGGTTTTAACCCACCAGCCGCTTCACAGGAGAAAGATGTGGCAGTCTGTTTCCATAAAGATTCATAGCCTTGAAACCCTACGGGGCAGTTCTACTCTTTCCTATAGGGTCGCTGTGAGTCAGAATTGACTCGATGGCAGTGGGTTTTTGGGTAATGTTAGGGATGGTTATTAGGTGTTGGGAGGGTGGGCAGAGAGGGTCTTACTTGCTTCTTGGCTAAAGAGAATTTCCCAGAGATCCAGAAGTATCCTTTAGTTAGCGTATCCCCAGTCTTTAGTGATTTCTAAGTTTGTTTTTCCTCCCAAGTAGATACTTACCTAATTACTATATCTTTTTATTTTCAGATTTTTGGCAAGCTAAGAAAAGGTTTCTTCCCAGATGTATTTGATCCCAAGGAAGTAAGCATTTAAAAGTAATCAGAATTTTATTTATTTCAGTGTTTTATTTCTTAATACTGATTCTCATTATCATTACAGAAAAATCTTCTACAAAAGTTACTCGCAAAAGATCCCAAGAAACGACTTCCGGCACCTGAAATACTCAAGACTTTGAATGAATGGAAGACTGGTCCAGAGGAAAAAAAGCCAAACACGTGTTAGGGCCCTTCTGAAAAAGTATCCTGCTGCTGCTTCTGATTCATGATTTTCCTTTAACTGTCTAAAATATGCTAGATGATATGAGCAGGTATTTACCTTCTGCTTTCATTTTTCCTCTTAATTTTTTACTACTGTTGCAGAAAAGTTTTCATTGTTTACATCAAAAGCATCCTTACCTTTGACTTTTTTTCTAGCTTATCTCTTTATTCTGAAAATCCTTCAAAATTTTTTTCTTATATCAATTAGTGAATCAATCAATAAATATATATTGAGTATCTACTATTTCTAGGCCAAGAAATACAAGACCTTCTCTGCCTTAATTGGCTTACAAGCCAGTTGGAGAAACATGATACCCATAAAAAGATAAGTGATATACAATCTCTTTGGAAAACAAGTTGGCATTATCTATAAAGTTGTTGTTGCATGTATGCTCAAAGCCATCATTTCCATTCCTACATACATCCTTATAAGAACATTCATAGAACCCTGTTTATAATAAACAAAAGAATGGGAAACAACCCCTAATGTCCATCATAAATAGAATGGATAAATACATTGTATTATAGTCACACATTGGAATACTATATAGCGGTGAAAATGAATGAATTGTAGCTAAGTGCAACACCATGATATATCTCTCAGGAACATAATGTTAACTGAACAAAGCAGATTACAGGAAGTACATACAGAATGATTCCATTTATATAAAATTGCAGAACATGCAAAAGAAAGTCATTTTGTTTAACTATCTAAACAAATGTGGTAAAATAAAGGAAAGGAAGGGAATATGAAATATTAAATTTAGGATAGTGCTTATCTCTAAAGTGGGAGGGGAGTGATATGATTGGGGAAGTGAATATCAAAGGTAATGGCAACTTTTTTCCTTAAACTGGATGTTGAGTCCACTAAGAGCTCCTGGGTGGTACAACAATTAATACGCTTGGCTGCTAACCAAAAGATTGGAGGCTTGAGTCAACTCGAGCACTTCGAAACAAAGTCCTGGCGATCTACTTCCAATAATCAGCCATTGAAAACCCTGCGGAAAACAGTGCTACTCTGACACACATGGGGTCACCATAAGTCATAATCACTAGACAGCAACTGGTTATTTTGTGTTCACTAATGTTTGCTACATAGTGATTCTTTTTATTTTTGTATCTATAATAACAAACACATTAAAGAGTAGATAACTGTGCTGTAAGGTAGTAAGTATGGAAAAAGTCAACCTGGAGGGATGAAATCACTTTCTACTGAGGTATCATGGTACAGGGCTTAGAAGAGACATTTCAGTGGGACATCCAGGTATGCAAGGGATTTGTGTGAGTAGAGGTGAGACCACTGGGGCAGTTGGTACACGCGTCATGAGTTCAGGAAGAGATATATTTGAGGAACACTGGGTATACTAGTTCGTTGCCCTCAATTGCTGTAGGAATGCCAGATAATAATTTGGGCTGCAACCTGGAAGACCTTGCAGGTTAATTTAAACTTTATAGCAACCAACTCACCATTCTAAATCTGCCGTGTGATTTTAGAGTATTTTTTAATGAGTCAAATTTAGGCTAAATAGAAAATGAGAAAAATCACAGTAAGAGAAGATATTTTTATAAGGACTTAGAACTATTTTTGAAGTGTTAATTTAAAAAAAAAGTTAATACTTTTTTCAACTCCCAAAGCAGAAATTAATTAAGGCAAGGTTTATCAATGTATGCTAAAACCATTGGCTGAAAAGGTGTTGGGGAACAGAATCTTACAAGGAAGTAAATGTAATCCCATAGATGATATAACAGTTATAAAGGGAAAAATGTACCTTTCCAATGGAAAGATCACGGGATCGCCACAATAACCAAGTGATCAAAATGAGCATCACTGATAGTGGGAAAACCTAACAACATGAGCCTCCTATTGTGATACAAGAAGAATTATACAATATCAGCTATTTAGTTTTCTTGTCCACAGTGTTTAACTGGAATTTAATCATGAGGATATTATTAGACAAATCCTGACTGTAGCTCATGCTATAAGATAATTGACTGGGCTTCTCAAAAGAATTAATTCCATGGAGGGGTGGGGAGCAGGGAAAACATTCTAAATATAATGAGCATATTCTAAATATAAGATAAAGAGATATAATGACCAAATGCAATGCTTGAATCTTGATTGTGTCCTGGATATTAAAAAGGAAAAAAAAAAAAAACACACACACAGCTATGAAAGACATTTTTGGGACAATTGAGAACATTTGACTGTGGACGTCACATTAGATGACATTATAAAATAATTGTTCATTTTCTTTGGTATGATCATGCAGCAAAGTGTCTTATCCTTAGGCAATGCATGCAGAAATACTTAGGGGTAAAGTGACATGATGTCTGAAACTTCCAAGTGTTCAGCAAAATTCAGTATATATATATATATGTGTGTGTGTGGATACATATATATCTAAGAGATAGTCTTTTTAAGAAAAGCACAATATCGTCACGCTCAGTAAAATTAATGAGATTTCATTAATTATCATCTAAGGTATTCAGTTTTCCTATATCAAATATCTCTTTTTCCTGGTTGTTTACATCAGATTCCAATGTTGCATTTGATGTGTCTCTTATAACATTTACCTGTTTTGTTTTGTGTTTCTTTTTAAATTTCCTCTTGCCATTTATTTGAGAAATAAACTGGATCATATGTCCTGTAGACTTTCCTCCATTCAGGATTTGGCTGATGGTACCCGCATAGTGTCATGTAACATGTTGTTCTATCCATCACGTTACCTATGAACTGGTAGTTAGATCTAGAAGTTTCATTGGATTCTGGTTCTTTTTTTTTTCCCCAAGAATACTCCATAGGTGATGGTGTATACTTTCTACTGTATCACTTCAGGAGGAACATGATGTCTGATTGTTCCACTTTCAGTGATGTTAAGACTGATCAGTGGGTTCAGGTGGTATAATCCATTATGAAGCTTCCTTTCAACTAATGGTTTTAGCAGTTCTGGGTGAATGTTGCTTGGACCCATTATTTTATTAAAACCAAGCCCCCTGCCCTCGAGTTGATTCTGACTCATAGCAACTCTATAGGGCAGAGCAGAACTGCCCCATAGGGTTGCCAAGGCTCAGCTGGTAGAATTGAACTGCTGACTTTTTGGTTAGCAGCTGAGCTCTTAACCACTGCGCCATCAGGGCTCCATTATTTCATAAGGAGTTGCAAAATAGTGGTTTTCTGATTTTATCAAACCTCTTGCATTTATCATCTGTGATTCTTCTATAAGAAGTTTCTCAGTCTAAATAGGAAAGATGGGGTAAATATTTGATTTATCCATTTTTAGAATAATTTGGTGGCCTAGCAACTTCCAAAGGTGACAAATGAGATTTTTTTAAATTCAGGGTGTGACCTAACCAGTGCTTTGAAAAAATGTCTTTAAAATGGGTTGGAGCAGGAAGAGACTATATTTAAAAGGTCAGAAGGCTGAGAGGCCAAGAGAGTCTGAACAAAAGGAGAGGAGAGAACCAAGAAGTATAATTGAGATAAAACTAATTGGAGTGGCAACTAATTAGAGGTAGAGATTAAGAGAAAGGTAAACCTCAAAGATTACTTTCAGGTGCATTTCAAAGTGAGTGGCATGTAAGTGACACCATTAAAGGAGATGGGGCATGGTGAGGCAGAGCACATATGGAGGTAAGACATTGAGTCCCATTTTGGAGATGCTGCCAGAATATTAAGGTGAAGATGTAGAGCAGACTGTAGGAAATGCAGGCTAGGAGCTTGGGAGGAATGCTGGGATTAGACTCATACACAGAGGTGGTGGTTGAATCCAGGGGACTGCCAAGAGAGAGACTATTGTATAGAAAAAAGAAATCTAAGGAATACAGTATGGCAAACATCTCCATGTAGATGTTTACTCTTTATATCTAGAGGTCCATCCAGCACTGAATGTCTGTGATTCGGTGTCTGTGATTATGACAATCTTTTTCTCAGAATGGTCACAGATGAAGGAACCACAGTTCACAGGTGTACCGTCACCCCACCATTGGCTTAAATTCTAATTAAAAACTGTAATAGGTAAACATGTGAGGCAAATGAAATCTCTCTCAAAGATTTGACTTTAGGGGTTAATTTGACTGAGACCTGTATTATTTTCCTGTGGCTGCTGTAACAAATAACCACAAACTTGTTGGCTTAAGATAACACTTTTATTCTCTGGAAGCCGTACATCCAAACTCAGTTTCACTCGTCTAAAGTCAGGAGTTGTAGGTGGTGTAGGTGGTTAAAATGCTTGGCTGCTAACTGAAAGGTTGGAGGTTTGAGTCACCCAGAGGCAACTCAGAAGAAAGACCTGGTGATCTACTTCTGAAAGAATCAGCCATTGGAAACCCTGTAGAACACAGTTCTACTCTGACATACACGAGTTCACCATGAGTTGGAATCGACTTGACAACAACTACTTTTCTGGGTTTGGTCTAAAGTCAAGGTGTGGGCAGGACTGTGCTCCTACCGGAGGCTTTAACAGAGAATCCATTTCCTTACCTTTTCCAGCTTCTGGTGGCAGCTTCCATTCCTTGGTTTGCAGCTCCTTCTTCCATTGTCAAAGCCAGCAGTGAGGCATCTTGCTCCCATGATCACATTGCCTTCTTCTATGTAGTCAAATTGCCCTCTGCCTCTCTCTTACAAGAATACTTGTGATTACACTTAGGACCACCTGCATAATCCAGGATACTCTCCCCACCTCAAGATCTTTAACTTAATCACATCTGCAAAGACCCCTTTTCCATATAAGGTGATTCTCAGGTTCCAGGGATTAGGACCTGGGTATCTTTAGGAGCCATTATTCAGTCTATCACACAACCCTTAGAGTCTTGGTTTCCTCTACTATCCACACTTTTTTTGACCACTATAAGAAAAAATTCTTAAGATTGCAACTCTGTATATGTTTTTATTCTATAGTCAACCCCTATTTTTCATAGATTCCATATTTGCAAATTTGCCGACTTGCTGAAATCTATTTGTAACCCCAAAATCGGTCCTCGGGTGTTCTCACAGTCATTCTCAGATATTCACAGAGCAAGAAAAAATTTGAGTCACTGACACCCCATTTCCCATCTGACGTTGATCAAGGTGATGCTCTGCCTTCTTGTTTCAGCTTTCATAAACAAGTGTCCTTTTTGTGGTCTGTTTAGTACCACATTTTTCTCATTTTTGTGCTTTTTGTTGGTGATTACGCTGTTTAAAATGGCTCCCAAGCATAGAGCTGATACGATATCTGGTGTCCCTAAGCACAAGGCCACAAGGTGCCTTGCAGAGAAAACACACGTGTTAGATAAGCTTCATTCGATGTTAATAGGTCAGTTGTATTAAATGAGGTGTCTTTAAATAGAAATACACATAAAACAAGGTTATGTATTGACTGGCTGACAAAACGTGACCAGGGCCTCACAGGAACCCAACCCTGTATTTCCCTCAGGAGCAGTGGCTCAGTGTTCACTCATTCAGTGTTCAAGGACACTTAATAGACCCTAACTGCCATGATTAAGGAGAACCAACCGTATCTGTCTCTCTACCTACCTACCCACCCACCTGTCTATTTAACTACCTAGAAGTTTCCCAAATCAATTACTATTTTTTATGCATGCCGTTATTTTCTGTTCTATTTCACTTTCAAATATGCTAGCTGCAGCCTAGCTAATGGGTTGTGACCTGCAATTGCCTAACATCAAGAAATAGCTTACTCTAGGGCAGTTTCTCAACAGCTGCACTGTTGGCATCTTGGGCTGGGTAGTTCTGTGTTGTGGGTGGCTGTCTTGTGCATCGTAGGATGTTCAGTAACATCCCTGGCATCTACCCCAAATCACCCCTGGTTGAGAACCAGTGGTTCGCAAAAAAAGTGTGATCTCTGGACCAGAAGCATCAGCATCACCTGGAACTTGTTAGAAATGTACACTTTTTGGTCCCCACCCCAAACCTACTGAAGCAGAAACTCTGAGGTGAGCCCAGACATGTTTTAACAAGTCCTCCAAGTGATTCTGATGCACTGTAAAATGTCCATTATGATCTAGGGCAGTGGTTCTCAGCTGAGGCAGTTTTGCCCCACAGGACATTAGGCAATGTCTGGAGACACTCTGGGTTGTCACAACGTGGGGAAGAGGAGAAGGTGTGTGTGTAGGGGGAAGGTATGCTACTGGCATCCCTGGTAGAGACCAAGGATGCTGCTAAACATCCTACAATGCACAAGACAGCCCCCCAAAACAAAGAATTATCCAGCCCAAAATGTCAGTATGCCAAGGTTGAGAAATTGGTCTAGGGATTCTCAGTCTGGGATTGGACATCCAGGAAGTCCACACATGGGTTTCAAAGTGTTGATTAAAAATAAAACCAAACCAATCCATTTTCCATTGAGTTGATTCCAATTCATGGCGACTCCACGTGTTGCAGAGTAGAGCTGCACTCCATAGGGTTTTCATGGCTGTGACCTTGTGGAAGCAGATTGCTAGGCCTTTCCTCTGAGGTGCCTCCATGTGGGTTAAACTGCCAATCTTTCAGTTAATAGCCAAGCACTTAAGTGTTTGCACCACCCAGGGACTCCTCAAAGTGTTTATAAATTGCCTCAAATAATATGCACATTTTTATATAGAATCTTAAAATTTCAGAGCTGGATGAGACCTTAGAGATGAAGGGTAAATATGTAGTACACTTTTCTGAGTTTTCATCAGATTCCCAATTGCATGGCCCTCTTAAGAACTATTCAGATACACTCTCGGCAGAATATGGCTTTGTGTCATCTTCCATTCAGCCTTTCCTCTACATCCCAAATCAGGTGCCAAATGTTCTCTATTCATCCCCTAAATTGTTTCTTGTATTTGTCCCCGCCTTTTCACAATTACCATTGTTGCCTTGATTCAGTTTCTCTTTATTGCTCACTCAGATAACTGGCTTTTATTCTATCCCCTAAAATCTTTCCTGTGCATTGCAGTGTTTTCTAAACATTAATCTGATCATGTTCCTTCTTTGCTCAAAAATCTATAAAGGTTTTAGTTCAAATGACACCACTTGACGTGCCTTCTTAATATGGCCCTGGCCTGTCTTCCCAGTTTTACCTCCCATTATGCACCCCTTGTTCAATGTTAATTTAAAATAACTCCTTTGTTGAGGTATTTCATATATCATACAACTTGCCCATTTAAAGTGTGCATCAGTGGTGTTTTGTATATTCATAGAG